GGGCGCCTCGGAGCCATCAGCTAGGGGGACCCGAACAGGCCACGGGTAGCGTCACTCGCCGTGACCGACGAGGCGAGAGCGGTTCACCGCAAACCAGCTGGACACCGATGATGGGGAGGGGAGGGGAGGGTAGCCGGGGAGCGGCGCTATGGGGATGGGTATCCTGACCAACCCAGCGTGGACAAGTAGCCCTCATCGCTCGCTGCTAGGTACGGGCGAGGGCCCACAGCGGTGGAGCGGCGCGGTGTGTACTCTGAGCCGACCGGTCAATACCTTGCACCACGAGTAAACAGCCTGCCCCGGGGGGACAGTCGGTGCGGTACGACCGATCCCCCGTCAGTTACACTAGCCCTGAATACACCGACTGCCATGAGCGTCACAGATCGGCGGTCGAAAACTGCCAACCATTTCAGCCCAGGAGCCCCGGCAGCTACCGACTTTCACTGTCCCCCGGCGGCTGGGCCGGCCCGCCCCCGGTCCCCCCGCGGTGCCCCGGCACCCACCTGGTTCGACGCTGTCCCCTGCCGGCCGGCAGGCCGCTCACATGTCCCCACTCGGGCGGAGAGCACGGCCGGCGCACTACCATGCGGTGGCGGCGGACGATTCGCGCCCCTGACCGTCGGCCGGCGTCCGACGCCGCTCGCAGGGCGCTGCCATGTTGCGACAATCGATCCCAGCACGGCAGCCCGCTCCGCCCGCTGCTGCCATCTATAGGGGGAGCGGCGAACGAGCGATTCACCAATCGGCGGCTGACGTTACCACAGCGCCTCGTATCGCGGAACGAGATAGCGTGGTGTTTGCTTTGCCGTGTGCGACAGAGCCGTATCTGTGAGATAAAAGGCATGTTTACGCTGTGGTTTTGTGATATCAAGTTGCATTGCAAAAGCGCACGTAGGCAACACGCTAAAATGCAAGTGACGTTATATTGTAGTACATTTTCAGGGTTCCAAGCCCATGTACAGTCATGATTCACTTCAAGCAGAACAAGCATACACAATAAACAACATCACAAAAGTACAGTACAAAACTCGCGCTAGACAATGCCCAGTCTACCCTGACCTGATTGCACATGAGTCATTATGACGCAGGCACCATATCACCGGAGGGTCGCGTCCCTGTCAGCCGGCCGGCGGCGGCGCTCGCTCCTCCAACACGTCATCGTCGAGCAGCAGCTGACCGAAGGCGCCGCTGCGGAACCCGCGCACCATGTGCAGCGCCGCCTCGCGCACGTCCGGCCTCTGCCGCACGCCGCCGGCGGCCACGTCCCGCACGCGCACGTAGCGTCCGCGCGCCGCGGCGCTGCTGGCCAGCAGCCGGTCTACGTCGTCCGTGGGCCCTGTCACGGCCATGTAGGGCACGTAGGCGTGGTTAGCGCGCCGGTTCATCCAGTAGAGCAGGTAGTCGGCTAGCAGCCGCGGCCCCACCAGGTGGTCCTGCATGGCCGCGCAGAGCGCCAGCCGCAGGCCGGCCTCGGCGCCCTCCAGGCGCGGCTCCAGCACGCCGGGCGTGTCGCGCACGTAGATCAGCGGCCGCGCCGACACCTTGATACGGGTCAGTACGGAGCGCGTGACGCCGGCGCGCGCGCCCACCGGCGTGGCCGCCGCGCGCCGCAGGTGCACGCTGCGCAGCGCGTTGATGAGAGACGACTTGCCGACGTTGGGCACGCCCACCACCATGCAGTTGAACTCGCGGGCGTCGGCGCGCGCGGCGCGCTCCTGTCCGGCGATGAGGGCGGCGAGCGCGCGCGCCACACCGCGCAGTCCGGCGTCGGCCTGGTCTCGGCAGCAGGTGAACAGCACCGGGCAGGGCGAGTCGCGCTCCAGCCGGCGGCGCACCAGCCGGCGCGCCTCGGCCGAGATCAGGTCCGCCTTGTTGAGCACCAGCAGGCGCGGCCGGGCCGCCAGCGCCTGCGCGATGCGCGCGTTCCGTCCGGAGAGGGGCACGCGCGCGTCGTGCACCTCGATGACGGCGTCGACGGCGCGCAGCTTGGCCTCCATCTGGTGCCAGCCGTCGCGCATGTGTCCGGGGAACCACTGCAGCGCCTCTGGTGGCGGCGGCTCGAACTGCTGCCGGACGCGCAGTGAGTCCGTGGCCAGCGGCCTGGTGCCGGGCCGCCGCCACCGGAGACCCTCTGCCAGCGCGCGCAGACCGGCCATGGCTGGGCAGCACCGCCCTCAGACGCCGCCGGTGGCGCACTGAACGCTCCTCACAGGCCGACTAGTGTGGCGCTGTACTCGAATTGGCAGAGCTGTGGGAAAACGAGGCCGGCATCAGGAACTCAGTGCAAACGAGAAGGCACACACTGCCAACTTGAGCACGTATAAGTAAGAAAGCATAGCAAATGAGAGCATTGATGCACTAATGCTATCTTTATGTATGTATGTATGCATGTATGTATGTATGTATGTGTGTATGTATGCATGCAATATGCATATATGCATGTATGTATGCATGTATGTATGCACACCTTTACAATCAAGAGCGACCCACACATAGCGTGGCGATTAGCGCCGCGGAAAAGCGCATTCGATAGCTCTTTTAACGCCCTTTCTGGAAACCTCTCAGCATTGACATATAATAAAAGGCTTAGCATCAGTGAGATGCATTTAGGGCGACAAACGACTGAGCGAGCGGAACAGTGAACCCTGCACGTGCGCAAGTGGGATGGGGTACTTCCAAATGACGTGTGCACTGCACCCTAGCAGCTGGCCTCTAGCGATGTGCCAAATTTGAAGACAATCGACCCAGCCGTTCTTGAGATCTGGAAGCGGCACCATGGCACGCTCAAACTGGGCCCACTAACTTTTGCACGGCACCCCACTCGCCGGTCCCTAACCGTGTACCTAATTTGAGCGCAATCGGCCCAGCCGTTTTCGAGATCTGGAAACGAACCCTGCACGTGTGCACGTGCAGTAGAACCCCATCCGTGACATGGATATGCATTGCCCGGTGAGTACCTACAATCTACATGCTTGCCAAGCTTCAGCACAATCGCTCCAGTAAGTGCCGAGTTATTTTAAAGAGCAAACCTGACACCTCTACATTTTACATTTGGCACGTGCAATGGGGGTCATCCGCGCGCATCGAGAGCATCCGATATCTGGTAAAAGAGACGCAACTACCCAACAAAAATGACCTCAGCTCAATCACCCCAGCGGACCAGCGGTTGCTAAGATTTAGGCCTCTCAAAAGTGATGCTTCAGCAAAACACCTTGAACATCCTTGACTTTTCAGGTGGCACGTGCCACCACGGTCACCTAGAGGCTAGACGCATCAATAGGTAGTAGTCAATTGCGGGGTAAAAGGGACGAGGCTACCTAACAAACCGCAATCAGCCCAGTGCAGCGATTGCTAAGATATACATATGTAAGTTTTCAAAAGCGTTACAGGCTGGTCCGGGCCGGGCCGCTCATGCTGAGATTTTTCCGTTATATTGAGGAAGAATACTTTATATTCAGACGACCCCGCCACGCTGGTTATCAAGAGTAAACAAATTCTTATAAGCTACGCTTTTACGTTTTTTTTTCAGCAATAACTTTTGACTCAAAACTGACATGACATTGATCTTGCGGCTATTGTGATCCTCTCATCGAAACGTATCGAATGAAACATAATTTGACCCTAAAAAGGTCATGTTGCATAGCATTCGATCCGTATCGTCGAGGAACACGTACAATGTGTTTTCGTTGCTCTAGCATGTCTTCATCAAAAGTCGTAAAAAAGCTGTTGGAGACCCGAATTATAACAAAGAAAAGGTTGTTTCAAGCCCCACGAGGCAGCGTTTGAGAGCTCGCCACGAGTCCTTCCCAAAGCACTCTTGAATACTGACTCTTAAGACTGAGGTCAATTTTTGGGTAAATATCAGGCCAAAGGTCAAATTCTGGGTTATCTGCACAAAGGTTGTAATTGGCGAAATCAGTGGCTTTTGCTTAACAATTGGCCTAGCCAAAGTGACCTCAAAAGTCAAAGGTGCTGTGAAAATACTCCATGAGCATAAATGTCCTACTAAGCATGGATCAAGCTCAAGGTCAGGCCAAAAGGTCACTTGATACAATTGCCAAGAGTAGCAATGCCCCCTTGGCCCACTCCTTAAAGATAGATTTGTGTGCTTATTTTGATGGTAGTGATATTCTGCATCCAGCAAGCACTGGTGGTCCCATCAATCACATACCTAGGTCATCCCCTGCTGTGACCCAGGTAGAGGCTAGTCGACACCACTGGCATGCAAGGCGCGGGCTAATTACTTTGAGTTCAGTGTGAGTGCAGATTTTGGACTGGTCACTTAAGGACTTGGTGCAGACTTTCCGGACCCTCAGCTCAGCCCCTCTCGTCCTTAAAGGCAGACTTTCCAGCTATGATTGGAGGGTTAGTGCGATTTTGAACTCGGGATGGTGCACCCTATTGCCCAGGCCATTGGCCTGTGAGCCATACTTTGCAGTATGGTTCAGCAGAACTGGAACGTACTGAATACTGACGTATGTTTTCCAAAGAAAAAATTAGGCCTATAAAACTGCATAAAAGCAGGTGATCCACCAATAAAAAGGTCACAGCTGTATCAGGTACCAAAATTCAAATTGTGACAGCAACCTCACAAGGATTAGATGTTGTTGTTGTTGTTTTGGGTTAGGGCGCATAGCAGCTTGAGCTTAGCTCTTGCGTCCAACCACAAGGATTAGAAAAATTAGCACTAACCAAAACCACATACCTACCTATTGGCACAGTGTATATAAATATATCAATATCAATATTTAGTGTACTTGTGTGTGTGTAGCTAAGCAGCTTTTGAGAAGGCAACTAGAATAAAGGTAGATTACTCATCTATTTGATGACGTCATTAGAATTCGAAAATAGAGTCGAAAGATTGGAAAAAAGGGTTCAACTCAGTTTTATTTCGATTTATTAATGCTGTGGTTAGCTTATAATAAGTTCGTTTAAGTGAAACCTGGCAATATATAGCTAATTTCATTACGTACATAAAAAAGACTCAGCAGTTTACATGCAGTTTGTTTTGTTATCAAAGACATAATTATTAACAAATTATTTTATTAAAATCGTTATTCGTTTCAGCTTGTTCCAAATACAATTGTGGCGCGGGGATTCTAGAAAACAACCAAAACAACTCGAACGAGGCTCAACAATATTACAAAAACCAAACAAAAACAACCAAAACAACCACAACAATAAGGAGGACAACCAGCAGCATTCGTTGAGGAGCGCGCTAGTCGACAACAACGGCAACAACAGCAGGTGGGGATCAGGATATTGATTGGAAAAGATTTGGTCTGAAAGGAAAAGTAGTTTTATACACTGTGGGAAAAGTAATATTTCTACCCTGGAAGTAGGTAAGCCAGAACATTATCTTTTTCTTGGATCTCTCGCGAGTTCGAGTTGATTGATTGTGCAGAATTCAACTCTACCTATATTTGGTGATGAAGTACCTAGATATTGGTGTTGATGAATTGGTATTCTTATAGAGTCCATGTCAGTCCCACGCACAAGGGGGAAAAGCTCAAAAAATTGAGCGCTCAAAAAATTGAGCGGGCCCCATTATGAAGGAATAGGCGAAACGATGGTATTTTACAATGCCTTTAGCGTCACACTACGGCAAATATCGTATCCAAATAAGGTATCAATGGCAAGAGAGAGCAACAAGGTTTCTTCTCGAACACTCGCCGTGATAATTTATATCGGTGTTTTTGGAAAGAAAATGCCCTAAAGACGCTCAACTTTTTGAGCGCCACTTGTCGTTCGGGACCGCGATACTCAATAAATTGAGCGCCACGACAGACGACAGTCAGCTGGCGCTCAAAAAATTGAGTGCCGGCCAGCATCTACACTCAATTTTTTGAGCGTTCTCCGTGACAGGTGAAGCCGGTACTGGCTGCCATTTTTGATGTTATGTTCGTTGAAATACGTTAAACTGAGTTGAAACAGAAATGCAGGAAGTTGAATGCTACGTGGTACCTAAACTTTTCACAAACCCATGGCATCATGTCACATTTTCCGCTAATAGTTTTATCGGTCTTTCGGATTCGGCACACCTTAAATAATTATACAAGGCTTGAATAATCCGTATGAATACTGTAATTGATATTCTCTGACTGTACTGGGAGAAGGGAATACGTGAATACAGAGATATCCACCCACCCTTGAATATTGGAGAATTATAGCAGGAAAAACTGTATTGCCACGGTTACAACTTACAAGGCCATCGGCCGCAAACAAACAAAAATACTATACAATGTGGGTTAGATTCACAAACATCATCAAGTGTGGAACAGAGACGAGCAAGACAACATCACATTATCGCATGCCAGCCCGACCACATTGGAACCGGGTCCGGGTGACCTGCGACCGGAACCTGCGTCTTGCCAGCATACATCACAAAAGCAGGAGGCAGTGTCGTACTGCTTTGATCCAAAATATGCCATATAACAAATGATATAAACGACCTAAGCTCGGACTAAGCTTATCATTATCAAATCCTTAACATGTAAAAGACGAATGGAAACATCGAGTCTCAGACCAGCAGTAGCAACGATCACAGTAGCAACATCACAAAGAACACGCGGCATTATCAGACAGCCGTTTTGTTATCGGGCTACAGGCGGCGACGGCGTGGTTGCAGACCAGCTGCGAGGTAGCGGCGTGCGGGCAAAAGGCGCGGGCACACCTCCATGTGGCCGTGCGGACAGTGCGCGGTCGGCGTCGCATAGTGGGCGGCATCGGGCTGTCCCGGGCCGTCGAAGCCGCACAGGTTGTCGGCGCATGTGGGCGCGCGCGATCACCACGGCCAGCTGCTCACCGCCAGCACAGACTGCGCAGCGTCGCCGCTCCGCCGGCCAGAACACGCAGACAACCCTTCTTGCAGTCGCACAACACGTCGCCAAACTCATTCACCTGCTCCACCATGTTGTTGATGTCCCCGAGTCGTTCGAGTTGTGGCTCGTGCCGTCGAGCATGACCTGCCCGATCGGACACGGGTCAGCGGCTTCTGCTCCAGCGAAGTCTTCATCTTAGTGACGTCTTGCTGATCTCCACAAAGGCTGAGCAGATGACCTTACCCACAGAGACGGCCGACGTCCTCGCCAGCGACCGCTTGGTTGTGCAGACCTGCCAGAAAAAGAAAAGCTGTTTGGTGATCTCAAACGATTTTTTTCTTTATGCAGTGGAACAAAACGGAAAATATGTCACACAACAGGAACTAAAAAAGAGATGCAGCCTAGGTCGTCTAAGAAATGGGTGCAACATTGATAAAATTCTTCATTGAATGAATTCTGCAAATGCTTTTGATAAAATGTGTGGTGATTATAAGGAGACCACTTTACTATAAAATTGCTCAGGATTCCCTATCTGGACCTGTCAAAAAATCCTGACTGCACACCAACAATGAGCATTAAATCCAAAACCTCTACCAGGTACCTAGGGATAATTAAATTCTGATTCAGGAAAATATTTCACATCATACAAATAAAAACCTTTACTATATTGAAACTGAAAATGTGATGCTGATCCAGTGACCTAAGGGTCTCAAAGTATAATAATGAATTAATTGATTATAAATTTGGTGGTGACTGCCGACTGGCGTCTGGCGGCCTGGACCTTGAGGCTTGAAAGTGGCCTTCCTTTTCCGTTGACTCCGATCCTCCAGATGGAAATGATATAAAGGATCATTTTTATCTTATTTCATATGAGCGAGCCAGTCAGCAAAGTGGCTATCCTGTTTCAGCATTCACCCACACAATAGTTGACTGTCAGTCTGTCATGCTGTCAGTGTTGTGAAGTAATGAAGGAGTTGAGTTTTGTTGATTATAAATTGTGATGTTATGTAAAGGACTGGAAAATGAATGTGAAAACTATGGAAACATATTGGCAGAGTATTGTCACTTACTATCAGGACATATGGATAGAGAATACATTCAAATTAATAAGAAATGCCAAATATCAAGGTACTCAATCACTGATAGCAGTGGACTATCATATGTTTTAATGTCAATTATATGAAAGTTAAGACTGAAACTACCTTTTACCTCATCATAACTAATGAAAAATTGTGTGAAGAAAACATTCACAGCCTCTTTGAAGCACTTAGACCACTAAAAAACAAAAATTTTCACGTAAATATGTTGTGTCTCCTTCCTTCAAAACATCATATCGGATGGCGCCACTTTCGTCGACAGTTACTTATCTGCACGCAAATCGAGGAAAACGTGAATTGATTGACGTTTACGTGTTTCCAAATTTAAAATCACAGCATATTCAAACTTTTCAGTGTACCTTTTAACATCTAAGTACAACTAAAACGATAAAAACTTACCCTCAACACAAGAGGGCTGTTCACGGGCCCTGTGTGCGGTCGGACCGCACACAGCCTCGAAGCTCCGCCCACTGCGTCCCTACGTCAGCCTTCCGTCACCGCACACAGCGATCGCTGTGGCCGGTCGGGACTGGCCACAGCGGACCGTCCACCGCACGCAGCCGTGACGTCAGAACCGCCTACCCATCCCCTACCCCCACGCCTGCTGGACGCACCGCACACACCGCACGCAGCAGTGTGCGGTGCCCGTGAACACCCCTAAGGACGACGACAACCACGCTACCGGAGACGTCGCGACGAAATAAACAAACGGCGCCGCCAAATGAAAAATATACTCCGATATGGGTAATGTGAAATTGAATCGCAATCATTTTGGGTAGTATGAAAAATGCTCTTTCCAACAGAACCCTAGTAAAAAACGTGAATGGACAAAAAATAACTTTTATTTCGACATAAATATTGGCCTGTTTTTAAGGCATCCTGGTATGCCGTAAGATTTCGACCTATAAATTGGTGTTCCCCCAATCATTGAAGCTTGAGCAGTGAAAAATATGAAAGCCTAATCTGTTTTGCATCATTAGTGATTCTCCTAGGGTGTTGCGATTTCTCCCTAGGTGTTGCGAGTTGCTTTTGCAAAACGTGTTCCTGAAACGGCTCAATTTTTTGAGCCCTCAGCATTACGCCTATGGGAGCCTCTGACGTCACACGCTCAATATTTTGAGCGCTCAATAATTTGAGCTTTTCCCCCTTGTGCGTGGGACTGATGTTATGCCGATTATGGCGTAGTGGCGGGATTGCGCCAACAATTTCATTGCACGTCCTGAGCTCTGTTCTGTCACTGTTTTTATATCAGTGTGCTGTCGGTTTTTCCCATATAAGGAAGTTCTTGCTGGCACTTCTTGACCTCTCATTGGTCAAATGAAGATACCACGTGAATTTGACCGATGAGGAGCCAAGAAATAACCGAATGCTCATTGCTCGCAGCCTGCAGATAAACTGCGACCGATCACCGCCCGGGGTAACTCTGCCGTGCGCCAAATTCAGTGCATGGCAGTAGCTGAATTTTTCGGCACAGGGCGGCCTCATATTTTTTTGCCGAAAGATGGTCACCGAATTAAGTCCGCACGCTGGTCAATCTCGGGGCATATTGGTCAATCTAGCGACTAGCAGCAGATTCGCCGTGCTGGCGGCTCTGGAGAGGTCTCGGGACGAGAGGTCCCCGCCCCGGTCGTCGCGTGCTCGAACTGGCGAGCCGCCCTGAGGCCTGAGTCTACCCAGCGGAGGAACGGGTGCTCAGATGAGGCCTCCATTCTCGGCGTGGAAATAGGTATTGGTATGGAAGACCTTGTTAAACATCGCCGAGCCTCGAATACTGCAGTGGGTTCCCGCCCACTGCGGTATCGAGGGAATGAGAGCGCTGACGACCTGGCGAAACAAGCGGCGAAACAAGTGTCGCGCGGCGCTTTGCGCCTTGTGCCGAGAAGAAGCTGATGTGCCGGGGCACGTGCTGCTCCGCTTACGGGCCCACGCTGGCCCCCGCCAGCCTCGAACACACCGCTCCGCCGATTTTTTGTGGCCCGGAACTTCCGGCTCCGGCCTTGTTTCACGGCACGACGCTACAGGGCGCTAATCGTATTGAGGTGTAGGGTTTAAATAAAAAACTTATTCGGACGCTCAAACATGGGAGAGCGTCGAAGGCCCCGGAACGCTCTGTCTGGACTCTGGTTGATATCAGGTTGATATAGCCTTGGTCGGTAGATGTGCACATGTGCTTTAAATATAAGTGGCTTAATTTTGGCACAAACAAGCACCCAATTTTCGGCGCAAATCATGCAGAAATCTCAGCACAAAATCGTTTGCGCCGAATTTCGGCGCAAGAGGGTGTCACGCGCGTCCGGCTCAGTGTATGAATATTTTCCAGTGTGGGATTGCACCGCTGCACCAGCACGGTGTCCCAGCAGTATGCGGAACTCAGCCGCCTGCGGAGCGGACGGTGTGTGCATCCGCATGCTAAAAACCAGTTTCTGGGCTATTGGCAGCGTCATACAGCACATCATAAACACCTGCATCTCGAAATCTGACATCCCCGAGCAATGGAAGCATTCCATAGTCCATCCCATTTTCAAATCCGGAAACCCATCTGACCCCAGCAACTTTCGACCCATTTCTCTAGTACCAGTTATCATGAAAGTTGTTGAACGAGTCATCCAGCAGCAGCTACAACACTATCTCTCTCAAAATCACCTTTTGGCACCTAGTCAGCATGGCTTCCGACCCCAACACTCAACTGAAACAGCACTTTTGTCCGTCACCGACCGCATCCTAGCTGCCACGGACAGGGGAGATATATCTTTCCTATGCCTTATCGATCTCAGCAAATGTTTCGATGTCATAGATCATAAACTCCTTCTCGACAAACTCGCACTGTACGGCATCGAAACTCCTTGGTTTAAAGCATATCTAAAAGGTCACACACAAAGCGTTTCAATGACCGATGGACTCCAGCGCAGGGTACTGTCACGACCACTCCCTAACACTATGGGCGTGTTTCAAGGCTCGGCCCTGGGTCCTCTTTTATTCACGATTTTCTCAAACGATTTGGCGCTTCACGCCGATGACGCATGCGTTTTCCAATATGCAGATGATACCCAGCTTCTAGTGAGTGGCCCAAAAAACAATGTAAGTGCCCTTATCTCGCGCATGGAGGCCTCACTAGAAGCACTGAACAAATGGTTCCACTCAAACGCCCTGAAGGTCAACGCGAGCAAAACGCAACTCATGATTTTCGGCAGCCGTCAAAATCTAAAACACTTGCCCCCAGTCGTCGTATCGTTTCGTGACACGGAGCTGGAACCATGTGCGCAGGCAGGAAACCTCGGCGTGGTGTTAGACAGCTGTCTGACCTGGGAAGCCCATGTATCCGAGCTCAGCAGGAGGTGTATGGGCCTGCTCATTGGCCTCTCCCATGTGCGGCACTGTCTTCCCGATGGGGTCATCAAAACCATTGTCACATCTCTAGTCATCTCCCGAGTAAATTACTGCCTCTCAGTTTACGGAAATGGTACAAAAAAGAACCTGAATCGACTCCAAAAGATCTTGAACTTCGCTACTCGAGTTATTTTTGGCCGCCGCAAATTCGACCACGTCACTGACCTGCGCGAGAAACTCAACTGGATGCCGCCCGAATTTATGTTCAAACTTCAAACCATGGCCACTGCACGTAAGGCGATACACTACGGCGAACCGGTAGCACTTGCCTCTATGTTTGCCAAAAACCGGGACTCCTCAACCAGAAATAGAAATACACGTCAGGATAACCTTCTCCAACTCCTGCGTCCCAGACTAGAAACCGGTAAGCGGCGTTTCAGTTACCGTGCGGCCGAGCTCCTAAACGACCTACCTCCCGACCTCTCACAGCTGCCACCCTCTAAATTCGCACGCGCTGTCAAGTCTCTGTGGAAAAAACGATAGACCTTCGTGATGGCCTGAATTAGGCACTCGTCTTGTAGGTATATAAGTACACGGTATGTTAGAAATTGTAGCATATAGTGTCTTCCTGTGTGTGCGTGTGTGCGTGTGTGTGTGTGTGTGTGTTGTTGTTCGACTGGTCTCTGTTCCTGCATGCTTATACCCGACTCAGACTCTGGGCAGTAATCGCCACGCCATGTGTGGATCGCCCATGATCGTAAATACAATATACAATACAGCACGGTACCTACTACCACGGACCAGCACCATTCCGCACAAACTCAGCACCAGACCTCAGTAAATCTGCACTGCATCGTGCACCGGCGGAGTCCGCACTGACGAGATCTCGTGGAAATCGCCATACTTTGCAGGCTTGCCTGGTGGGGGTCTTAGCCAACCTCACGATGGTAGGGGGGGGGGGGGGGTGCGGGAGGGGACGTGTCGACTATCTTGAAAACAAGAAAGTTGGAAAGCTTCTGAAAAAGCAGAAGAAAGTTTACTATTCGACCTTTCAGAAGCATTAAAGTCATTTTTTCGATCAGTTTATTGCTGATGTCACTGAAGGTCACCAAACACAAATTATCGCGAAAAGATCCCTATTTTGACTGTTTGACAACATTTTTTTTTTTCTTCACAAACTGGCATGCCTTACCTTCGTGAACCAAAAGAGCTAGAGAGTCACAGGAAAGCACGTTTGATAGCTCTCTCGCTGACTGCTGACATGTCCTCAGATTTGACCTCAGGTCAAATCTGCCCACAGAGGGTGAAACCATCAAAATAGACGGTTAGCCAAAACCATACGATGGCAGTGTATTGTCTGACAATGGTGAAGTCGAACACGATGGTGCTGAAATCGCGGTTCTGCAACCATTTTTGGCGAAGTTATTCACCAAATACCAAACCCCCACATTGGGTCACTTGACCTGACCCCAGAGGTCACCGGTTGACCTGAGAACTTTAGAAAAGTACGGTCACGACGCACGGGCTCGTTTGTTACATCAGGCTCTAGCTCAATTAGGGGCAAAATAGCTGGAGGGGGCTTGATCTGCGTCCGTGCCGTGTTCGTGTACAGTTGACGAACGTATGCAAACTGCTGTTTACTTATGAAAATTCGACCGACGACGGCACCTGTTCATGTACACACCTGTTCCTGGACTCTTTGTCTATGATTTCAGAAATGGGTGTAGTTTAATACGGCAAAAAACAGACAAAAACATACCTACCACCAGCGCATGATAACCCCCTCCATTTTCCAAACTTCATGAAACTACTCACCGCAAGAGGGTGCAGTGTCCTTGGGCGTAGAATACACCGTGATATAAATTACTTTCAAGTTTTATGAAATCTCGGCTGGTCGCTTTTACCGCTGCGTTGACTTCACGGCCGGCCTACAGAGTGCTCTATCCGGCGACCCGGGCCGGTGTCATACGGCCGCGTGGATGCGGGTGGGCTATGCCGCTCAGTTGAGCGGCACAGTCTACCTCCAGTACCAGGCGGCTGCTGTCAGTGCTGAGGTAACCTGTGGATGAAGAGCCCCTATCGGTCAGCGTGCACCCGACCGTACCGCGGCCGCGGCGTCGTCTCGGGTGGGGGAGGAGGCGGATCCACGTGAAACCCCCGCAGAACCGCAGTAGCACCACACCGACCGAACGGGCGCGTGTCACCGAGATCTGCTCGGAAATGGCACTCTGCAGTGCGGCTGCAAAAGGCTTCACACCAAACATTGGTTCTTTTTCCCTATCTGTAATTGACAGTTGACACCTCCAATGTGTCAAAGCCCCGACTGGTCCTGCAGCGGTGGGGCGGCTGTCCTATCTCTGCCGTCCCGTCACAGGGCCGGGGCTCTAACGAGCACACGGATCCCGCCGAAAAAGGCGGATACGAGATAAATAGAAGCCGGACTCTGGCCGACACGCCACCGGCGCGGGTCTCTCACGCCGGCCGTGGCATGCTGTGGTCAGTGTCCCGGTGTCCGTTCGGTGTCGGCAGCTGTGGTCCGATCTGCGGCGACCTATCGGCTGGCGCCGGCCGCCCGGGGCGGGGTCAGACCCCCCCCCCCCCCGCCGTCCCCCGCCCCGGCGAGCGCGTGACCTTGCCGCCGCGCGTCGGCCGCCGGTGACCACAGTCGCCAACTCTCATACACACCGCGGGGACAGTCAGGCCGGGAGACAGGCAGTGTCGCGGCCGCTGAGCAGTGAGCACTCACAGACGGAGGGCTGACTGGGCGGCCGCTGTGCGCTCACGGACGGAAGGGGGGAGGTCCCGCGAAGGTCTGACTGTGCGCCGGTCCCGTTCCAGCTCTCCGAGATGGGCCGCCGTCCGCGGCTGGTGACCCCGCCGCTGGTGCTGGTGGCGCTGGCACTGGTGATGGTGCTGCAAACTGCTGAAACCAAGCCGCCGCTTCAGCTAACAGCCACAGGTAAATATGGGCACTGTGGGGAAATATGGGCTTCGTGCTGGGCCACACACTAATGTGTTGGTATTAGATAAATGATTGGATAGAATGACGAAGTTTATTGATAGGAATTAAAGTGTTATTTTTTTCTGCTTCAAACCCCGTCCGGTCTTGGGACTGACGTAGGTTAGACCCGTATTGTGTCATTGCGTTCAATATGCCTGACTGTGTGGATTCAATGGGCATCTTGTTGTTTTTAACTTTTGTGAGATCTGGGTTAATGTGCGTGACATGAGTTCAGGAAAAGGGGTTTGGTCTCAGCCCAACTCGTCGCATTTAGATCTCTTCATCCTAGATCAGTTCACGGGTGAACTGCACGATTTTTTTGCGCTTCCTAACCGCTTGGAGCAGCGTGATGCTGCCGATAGGCATATGTTCCACAGGATATGGAGTCCAGCCTTATTATTCACAACTCACTGACCTCAGATCAAAATTACCTACACTTAAGATATGCGAATATCTCGTTTATATTTATATGTCGCTTCCTTACGAATTTGCATTTACCGAGACCTATTTTTTATTGAAGTAACACGGCACTCGTCGGTGGCTGAGCTGCTATCGGGTCCGTGTTGGAAAGCCCGCCTCTCCTGCATTGTTCTTGTCGAGTTTCTGATAGCGGTAACGTCTATCAAGCCGACTGACACTCCTAGTTCAAGTGACCTCGGTTGTCCTTGGACGATTAACCTAAAACCTTATTTGTAAATTGCTCCGCATCGGGAAATTGTGTACCATTTCTGTATATCTATTTTGTGCTGATTTCACTCTATTGTCTGCATTTCACCTTTTCTGACTTCATTCAAGTGATAATTACTTCTATAATTATATTGCATCTATCTTTTGGTTGGACGTTGACTTTTCGGCTGCAAGCGTCCTTGACTCTGCCGACCACTGTTTTGTTTTTTGAGTCACATCTGAATTGATCTTATACCCTACCTTCACAAAAACGCTTTGCTAAAACAGTCCAAGCAATTCCTCGTCCCGCGATACCTTGACCAGTGTATGGGTGTCGGGGATGTCTGCTTTTCTGTCGCCGGCGGCTCTGCCCCGGCTGATTGTCGCCCGCTCCCGGCCAGCCGGCCAGTTCTGGCAGATCACGGACATTCACTGGGACTGGACGTACAACCGGACCGGCGACGTCTCCTCGTGGTGCCACGGCGCCGCTGCCGACCCCACCGCCGACAACGGCCTGTTCGGCAACTACAGCTGCGACGCGCCCTGGGTGCTCGTCAAGGAGGCCGTCCGGCACATGGCCCAGGTGCAGCCGCAGCCCGACTTCGTCATCTGGACAGGGTGAGCGGCTGGGGGTAGGGAATAGTGCCTCTGGAGGGGTGAGCTGCGGGTGTCTGGGTGAGGCTGGCGGCCCGACTGGCCGTCCGGCGCATAACCCAAGTGCAGCCGCAGCCCGACTTCATCATCTGGACCGGGTGAGCGGCGGAAAGGAGCGTGCCGTCGGAGCTCAGTTACTGGGCGTTTGGTGTTGTGTGTGGGATATGGGAACTGGTGAGAGGTGGAGACTGGAGAAGGATGTTTTATGAATGGTTGGAAGCGTGAGAAGGGACCATTTGGACCTGCGGAGCGCATTTACCTAGTAAGAAGGCGTTTGTTTTAGGCTATGGACGAGGAATAATCAATAATGGGTGATGACCCGGACGAGGCCATCACCCATATGATCAGATGGTATATTGCTGAGGTGGGGCATTCCACGTCAAATCAAACACCGAAATCCGTCATCCCCTTCGATTTTTCTGAAAATTTGTAGGCAGACTGGGCATGGTTCAAAACTGAGTTACGTATAATATTTTCGAAATTTGATAACGTATCGCTGAGATATAGGTCATCGAATATAGCGAAAAATGCCACACATCAATTTTTTAAATGGCTATAACTCTGGTTCCTTTTCTGGTATCAAAATGATATTAACAGGGTCTTATAGGCAATTGATAAGGCTTTGATTTTTAATTATAAAATTAAATTGAAGTGACCTTGAAATGCATTTGACCTTGAATTAAAACAGAAAAATTTAAATAGCAAAAAACACGTCACCTTCGATTTGGGTAATTTTTACATATTATGTCCGTCATAATGTTCCTAACCATCTGTGAAAAAATTGGAGTGGGCCATTCATAACTTTCGCGGCAAACGCCGTTTTCATGCATCAACATCACGCAACCGCGCGTGACCTTGAAAGACAGAGTCAAGACATGCCTGCTTGTGTACACTTTCTGAAATGAATGATTGCTGATTAGTGATATCCCAAACTCTGCGAGAATGGAAATGCATAGTCATCGTAGTCAAGCATTCACGTTCCATAGTAAAAGTGTCTCAGGCAAACGGTATTTTGCGGTGAATTTTGAGCCGTGTGGAAATGCATCATGAAGTAAATTCAACGAAAACATTATCACGCAACGACATCTTCACGTCTTTTGATCTTCACTATACGAAAGAACATACATTTTTTTAGTATGTATGGGGAATTTCTAGTTAATCCAATAATAAATATGGCAGTTAGAGGCCTGCTAAGAGTAACATGTCGCCGGCTGAGGCGGGCTCGGCCGATGCGGGAAACGCAGCAATCACAATTTTGTGTTTACACGTTCATATTTCAATTGTTTACCAACTGATTTTCAAAATGCTTTCCCCATAAGATTGTCTGTACATTTCTTAGTCTTCTCACAAAATTTGACGCGAATCGAACGTAATCAGCGGTAGGGAGCGCGATGTAAAGACGGAACCGTTCCGTTCCGTCCCGGCACAGTCTACAATTCAGGCGGCGCGTAGCGGTCGGCGCCGGCTGCCGAGTCGCCGCGTCGCTGCGGCGACAGGATGTTCACTTTACACCGCTATTACTAGAACAGTTGTGAACCGATTTTCTTATTGCTTGCACGATGAGATGTCCAATTCAATTCTTGACAGGTAGCCATAATTAATTTCGCATTAATCTTATGAGATATTGGCGAAAAACAGGAGGGGTGGGCGAAATTCGCTCTTCCCCCTCCACTGCGCGTGCTAACATACGTTTGCATATGTGCAATTTTCTTCAAAACTTATGAATGGCCCACTCTAATTTTTTCACAGGTTATTAAGAATATGGTAGGCAATAAAATATATGAAAATGAGGCAAATCGAAGGTGACGTGTTTTTTGCTATTTCAATATTTGTGCTTAAGAACAGAGTTAAGCAAATTTCAAGGTCATATATTTAAGTAGGTGTAATTCTAAACAAATGCTTAAGAAATTACCTAAACAGCAAAGTTTATTTCATTCAAATCAAACAAGTACAACCAAAGTTATGGTCGTTCAAAAATATAAAGATGCAACATTTTATAAAAATTTCATGCCCTATATTTAGAAAACCTGTGGTCAGAATGTGCAAAAAACATCAATGTAATGTCCGGGGCCACACAGGAACTCGCTCACAAATTTATAATGAAATCGCTGATGGTAAGGTGCAAAACAGCCGATTTTTGTTCGATTTGACGTGGAATGCCCCAGGTGATTCAGTCACCGCAGTCGGAGCTGGCCCGCCGTCTGCCGTCTGTTTTCGACGTGTGACGGTGTAACGCCGATTCCGTGTGTGACGCAGTAACGACCATGGACGCCGTGACGCCGGCTCATGTGACGCCGTGACGGTGCTGCCCGCGCCGTGACGGTAACTGTGCGGAGCGGTGACGCCCGGCTGACCCCCCCCCCCCCCCCCCGCCCTCAGGGACAACGCGCCGCACTGGGAGGAGGGGCCCGAGTTCAAACAGATCTTCTCGGCCATCGACAACATTACGCGTGTGATGGAGGAGGCGTTCCCTGACACGCCGATCGTGCCCTGCCTGGGCAACCACGACAGCTTCCCCGCGGTGAGATATCTGAACATTCATCCGCGACCAGAATTAGCATGTATCTTATATTAAAGAAATCGTTTTGTTATACAGCAAGGTGCGGCACCTGACATTTTGTCTTTGGCATTGCATTTCATTGTTTCAGTTTGTGTTTGGTAGCTCCACCGCGACTTTCTGTGACCTGTGACCTGTCTCACCCCTGTTTGTGTCCCTCAGGACTTTTACCCGGGCGGTAACAAGTCGTTCTACACGCGCTACCTGACCGAGGGCGGCTGGTCGCGTCTTCTGTCCGAGGACGAGCAGAGGACCTTCGCCACGGCCGGCTACTTTGCGCGCCGGCTCACCGACCAGCTGACCGTGAGGAAGGGGAGCGGGCGGCGGTATTCAGCTCTGAGAGACACGGGGAGGAAGGGGCGAACGACGGCGGTATTCAGAGACCAGCTGACTGTGAGGAGGGGGAGGGGGAGCGGGCGGGCCGTGCCGACCTGAAACTGAGAGCTGCGGGGCGGCATTCAGCTCTGAGGGACCCCGGAGGAGGGGGAAGGGGAGGGGGGGGGTACCAGTAACCAGGGCTGGCTGTAGACGGGGCGTCGAAGGCGGGCTCCCTGGGGAGGGGGACGTCTTTCAATGGTCCGTCCAGACCCCGAGCCAAGGAGCATTCACTCTACTATTTGGTGCGCACTGCCACCTAACGGATGGAGCCGTTATGACCTAAGGCGACACTTGTACTCGCCAGCTCCAAGTATGTGACCACAGTTGGTTCGCTGTTCTTATACGGTTATGTATCAGTACTACGATAGTGCTATCCCTCGACGTGCACCCAATCTCGCCTCCCGCGCCCTGACTTCGTGCTGTGATGTCCCCCGTTCCTTCCCCTACACACGGTCATCTCCCGCCCCTGACCTCGTGTCGCGATGTCCCCCACTCATACCGCTGACCTCGTGTCGCGATGTACCCCCTCCCACCCCTGACCGCGAGTCGGGCCCTGTTCCAGATCATCTCGCTGAACACAAACATCTACTACCGTCCGAACGAGGCGATCGACCCGAAGGAAGCCGACCCGGGCCAGCAGTTCTCCTGGCTCCGAGACCAGCTCAAGAACGCCAGCACCGAGGGGTACAAGGTCAGCCGCGTGACGGCTCATGGTGTTCGGGTTCCGACATTGCTGGGTGACATGTTTCATGGAACGGCGGTCTAAAGTTATCTCGGCCTATGCAGTTCGTACGTCCCTTAAAGCCAAATTTCGTCACATCACCAAGCTCCGCTGTGTATTTGCCTACTGCGTAGTTTCCGTCCTGATATTTCCGCCGTCCTAATATTTTACCTCACCAGTGTGTTCCTCTTCCTGTTTCTCTGTTGCTTTTCTTGCTTCTAACAGCAGTCTGTTTCTGATCATGTTCACTGTTCCAGCCTGTTCCCTTACAGCAGCAGCCTACTCCTCACTGCTTTCCTCTGTTCCAGGGCAGTTGAACACCCTAACACCCGTTCTGTCAACTGTTGCAGTCTGTTCCCGTAACACCAGTCCTGCTCCTGTGTTCCAGTTTGTTCCCGTGACACCGGTCCTCCTCCTGCACCGCCGTGCGGCCGCTCCGTCCGCTGGCGGCTCCTGAACTGCCCAATCCAGTCCGGGCCGCCCTGGCTGGCTCTCTGGTGGGCCGGCGCCGTCCGTCTATGGTACGGTCCAGACCACTGCATTCCTGTGTCCCTCTGAGAGGGGCGTCATGGAGACTGACAGGTAACGAACGGCACGTCCCGGCCACATAAAGACTGGAGTGTTTGGGTACCAGGCCAACACTATATCAATATGGTTATTTTATCTCAGGCATGCGGTCACACGTCTTCCCTTTTTATCACCTCTTAGATTCAAGCAGAAGCTCACGTAATTCGAGCGTTGAGGAATGCAGATTAGATGTAGATAACAGCTGAATCTTAGTATAGTCAGAATCAGGGTTTTTTGTCGTGTTCTTTTCTCACCAGCATCACATCTGACCTCGCCTCTCACTGACCTCTCTCCCGTCTCACCTCCCCGCCTCCCTCCCGGCCAGGTGATAATCGGCGCTCACATCGCGCCCGGCTTCTTCGAGCGCCAGACTGACGACACGTTCATGTTTGACAACTACAACGAGGCGCTGCTGGCGCTGATCGGCCAGTACTCGGACGTGATCCTGGCGCAGGTGTACGGCCACGAGCACACCGACAGCTTCCGAGTGCTGGGGCAGGAGGCGCCAGACGGTGAGGAAGGGATAGCTGGGGACACCGACAGCACAACCCTGACGGTGGGGGGGGGGGGGGGGGTTAATGAGGGACAGGGGAAGCACACCGACAGATTCCCCGTGCTCGGACAAGAGGCGCCGGACGGTGAGGAAGGGCAGGGGACAGGGGGCACACCGACAGCTTCTGGGAGCCGGGTGCTCGGACAGCTGGAGCCTGATGGTGAGTTAGAGCGGATAGTAGGGAGGGTTCACGTGGTCTTCCGGCTGTTGTGGTTTGTTCCATTGTGCTAATGTCGTGTAGGAACATTTATGAATACCTATAGGTATTTGCTGAATGCAAACATTGAGCCTTATCTGTCTCTTACCGTTTTCTGCCCGTACCGCCCGACCGTCCCCTCACCGTCCCCTGACCGCCCGTCCCCCCTCCCCTGCGGTCCGTGTCCCTCTGACCGTCTGACGCTCCCTCTCGCTGCTCCAGGCGAGCTGCAGCTGCAGGCGGCCATGTTCCTGGCGCCGTCGGTGACGCCCTGGGTGCCGGCCGCCGGCACCAACCCGGGCGTGCGCCTCTACTCGTACACGCCCACCGTGCTGACCGACTACTCGCAGTACATCCTCAACCTGACGGCCTCGAACGCGGCCGGCGCGGCCGCCTGGAGCCGACTGTACGCCGCCGCCGACACCTACTCGCTACCCGACCTGGGCGTCCAGTCGATGGCCGCGCTGTACCGCCGGCTGGTGGCCGAGCCCGACCTGTTCGACACCTACTACCGGCTCAACACGGCCGGGGCGCCGGCCGGACAGAGCTGCGACCTGCCCTGCAAGCGCTCCCAGTTGTGCGCCATCGGCCACCTGCGCACCGACGCCATGGCCACCTGCCTCAACTCGGTGGTCACCATGAACTCCATCATCTCTGGCGAGATGCTGGTGCACGGGCCGGCCGGCGGGCCGGGCAGCGCGCCGGTGGCCGGCGGATCCGGCCGGCCCTCCCAGTTCCTGGCCGTCTTTTTCGGCGTGATCGCCGGCCTGGCGGCGCTCGCCGCGCTCGTCGCGTTCGTCGTGGTGCGCGTGCGGAAGCGTCCGTCGGCGCCGTCGACGGTGCTGCGCAACGTGGCCTCGTTCGTCTCTGTCGGCAGCCAGGGCTACGAGACGATGACGTAGGCAGCGAATGGCGGCGGGCGCCGAGGCTGCAGTTCCGGCCGCCGCCGACAGGTGGCACTGGGCGGCCCGACGGCCTCCGCACCGGTAGGTGGCGCGCAGGGAACACTGCAGTCACAGTGAGCTTTACTGCTGTGGATCAGTAGATGTATCGTGTAGGATGTTTCGTGAACGATATTGTGCGCTAGATGTGATTAGGGTCGGGACTAGACGTGGTTCACACACGATTCGGGGCATGAGTGAAACTTTATCGACATGTTGACGGCAATCGGCCGCTCCCGTTGGACGTATATAACCGCCCTGTAGATAGGCCAGGCTCGTCATGGATGCCCGTTCTCTGTTCTTGCCGAGTAGCGTAAGGACATGATCGGGCGGAATTCGCGGCAAATCAACTTAGTTCGGCCCAAGGGATAGTTCAGGCTGTGTGGTGAAGCTAGTGAAACTTTGATTATATTATTGTCATCAGTTTTATCTGAGACTCCTCGTTCTTCGATACACGTGATTTTACCTTCATTGATATTAGCGGTAGCAGTTCAGTTGTTTTATCTCTATCATATCCATCAGCTTCTTATACAGTTTCTGTCTGAATTTATCTTTTTCGAATTACAGCAGTAGGTATTTGAGCATGGCTTGGTGGTGCATTCTGCTGACAGCAACACTGCCTTTTGATCGCTTTAGCTTTCTTATTTCATATTTTGACATGAGTGCAGCTTTGGTGAGGGAGCGCCAGTTCCTGTTGCTGTAATTCTTTCTTCACAATAATGCTCTGCTCGAGGCTGCGATATGTAAGACTAGCAAGTGGCCGCTCAAGATCTTGCATAATTCTCCTACCAAATACCTACATGTTGCACACTATTTATGCCTAATCACGCTAGTTTTGTGATAAACAATAACAGCCGGAGGAGGGATCATTGCGCACTTAGGTTGCAGGACTAATTCCGCTGATACGTACTACTTAACTTATTATGATCTTCACAACGCTGAGTACTTAACAACTGAATGCATTTACAGCAAAGACCTGTTACGCAGGTAGGTATTCTATCCGACCGGTGTGTTTTGCCCTGCTGAGTTCAATGTGTCGGTGTGCCCCGCGCTTTAGACACGCCAGCGTTATGTGAACAGAGTACGCGGAGGAGGGACGAGGGCCTGGCGGCTGGCTGCTCTGAGTATGTTGCTGCCTTCTGCGCGCCCCTGTGGGAAACCAGGTGCCCCGGTCGTGACTCGGGCGCCCCGGTGGTAACTCGGCCGCCCCGGTCGTAACTCGGGCGCCCTCTTTGGAGCTCGACCGCCCCGGTCGTAACTCGGGCCACCTCGACTGCTGAAGCGGTGCGGCCAGGCGCGCGGAGGAGGCACAGAATCAGGTGTAGCGCTTAGAGATGCCCTTTTTGAACCCGCGAACCCGCTTTCTGCGGGTTTTCAAAACCCGCAGGGTTTTTGGCGGGTTTGAGAAGCAAAACTTGTCGTGTGGCGGGTATTTGGCGGTCAGACTTAAGAACCTATAATTTTTTTAATTTTTTTTTTTTTAGATGCAAAACACAATGCCAAGTGCATTTGCTCAGGTTAACAATACAACATTCATCAAAACAACTTTTAAAACAGAACCAAATATAAAAATATATCAAGGAAGCACATTTCAAATGCAAAACTGAAAACAACCAGCAATAGCATCCACAGTCTGGCAATGACCAAACCAGGGTACAAGCAATAAACTACTAAGCATAAATAAATGCTGATGAAAGCATTCCATAAAACATAAAAGACCCTGAAAGCAAACTTATAGGAAGCTGAACTGAAGTCTATGTGCACTGTGCAGTGTGCACTAGATATACATTATGGAAGAACCCAGACTTAAATGAGATGTTGAAAATCAGAGCAAATGCCACATGTTACTTTATTTGCGTCTGGTCGGCATAAAAAAGAGCTATCAGCTAAACAAAATTTGATGCAAATTCATTGATTACCTATCCTACTCTATGTTCTGTTCCACCCTATATTACGAAAATAACACACCAATCACCCTTACAAAAAATCAAAATATAGACTGGCCCAGACTGGCCGGCCCAAACATAACGCAATACAATACTGGCGCACTTCCGACATTCTGACAAGGATGGGCATTTGACTGCGTCAATTTTGGTCTCTGAGGTGAAGGAAAGCTGTCATTGATGACGCAATAATTTTCAATCAGTTTTTCTGTCTTGGTTTTTGAATGCCTCAAAATAGCAGTTATACATGTTACAAAACCACGTAGCTGGTCGCATTTATTTCTTTTGTCTTTTTACGTCCTTATCATTTGTATGCCGACAGATGACCAGCCGGAGAGCATTACCAAGACCATCTATAAAATCATTACATTTAATTTAGTATTTACTGTCTCTTTATTTCTAAACCGGTGATTAACCTCTAAATTGTAAAACTTTAGCTGTTGTGTAAAATAATTTAATCAGAATGGCACATGAATATGCATTATACAACAGTGTTTTCGCAACAAGTTCGACTAACTACGGCCGCAATAATTTAGTCGCTGTAACATTCCTTCATCAGCTGTTGGTGACGCTTCTGACGCATGTTTCCAGAAATGCGTGGTTCATTGGTGGTTAGTTGCAAGGCCATATATGTTATTATAGTTGGTTTTTGCTGGGATTTTGCATGATTTGTTTTATGTGTAGATCGACTGGATACTCATTATTCACTGTGTCACTATTTATTTTTAACTGGAAATCGCATATCTTTTTATATCAACATTCATTTTGATAACAATATCATTCCAGAGGCCTAACATTGAGAGGGAGCCAGAGTGAAATTTTGATCCTCAGCCAATGCTGAAGGGTAAGGTGAGAGAAAGATTTTACTGAACTCTTCAGAAAGGAATTTCAAATGTATTGATGCATTATTCATTTTCCACTATCCAGTGTGCACTTCCTGAGGACTTAGCATAGCAATTTCAAGTCCTTACTATTTGTTTGGCTGTCTTTTTCTGCACAGCAATGAAGCAAGTAAGGTTTATATAGCTCTAGCATTGACTCAGCTGTATTTTTTTCTTGCAAAAGTATGTTTTTAAGATTGCGGGTTTTTTGCGGGTTCGGCTCAGACAAAATCAGCTTGCGGGTAGTTGTGGTTGGGCAAGGGGTAGCTGCGGGGCGGGGCGGGTAATGAAATTGCAAATTTGGGGCATCTCTAGTAGCGCTGGTTACATATTGCAACTCCCAATCGTGGTTGTGCCAATGTTGTAGAACTGTTCCCATGTGGAGTGATAACGTTGTGTTCAGACTGTGCAGGTTTACTCTGCGGCTGCTGCTTAGCTCTTTGTGTCAACTGCGGCTCGGTTCGTTGCCGTTTGTATCTTAGGACGCGCGAGTTGGTCTTCCGATCGGGTGTTGCTGTCACCCCCGCTCAGTTTTCCCTTTTGCCTGCGCTGAACGGCGATTTGACGTATATTCTTAGCATTGTGGACGACCCTACAGTATTGGTGTCTGATTCACGCCTGCGGCGATTATCGGTGCAGTTAGGTAATCTCAATGGAATCCCAAGGAATGCAACTACAGATGTGTTTCGCCAGTGTCGTAATTTTAGTGGTCGTAAATAAGTGTGTGCTGGAGATCTGCGGACTGATTCTTCCTATGCGAAAAGTGATTGGCAGATCAGAGGCTCAAATTTTCTTACGCTGTAGGTGGTTTGTCATTTTCTTTCGAGGCTACAAGGTGTTATACCCCTACGCAGTGTGGGGGGGGGGGATCCAATCATGTATGCGAAGGATCAGTGATGTGACGAAGTCCGCAGCGGGGCGGATGATGTCCATGCCCCGCTGCGGTGGGACGGAGGGTGTCTGCGCCCCGCTGCGGTGGGACGGAGGGTGTCTGTGCCCCGCCCCGCTGCAGTGGGGTGGAGGGTGTCTGCGCCCCGCTGTAGTGGGGCGGAGGGTGTCTGTGCCCCGCTGCGGTGGGGCGGTGTGTGCTGCTGACCCCCTCACTGGTCGGTGGGGAGTTGTCGGCGAGGCGGCTGGAGCTGTTACTGAGTTGCTCCGCCAGCCGACCGGCCGACCACTGGGACCGGGGGTGGGTATTGTCCGCGCTGAATGCCGAGTCGATGGTCGCTGTCCAAATACAGAGCAGACCCTATACAATCGCAGCTTTTCACCGACGGAGCATGAAGCAAGAGTGAAGCGTGTTAGCATAGAGTACCGGAGAGAGAGAGAGAGAGAGAGAGAGAGAGAGAGAGAGAGAGAGAGAGAGAGAGAGAGAGAGAGAGAGAGAGAGAGAGAGAGAGAGAGAGAGAGAGAGAGAGAGAGAGAGAGAGAGAAAGAGAGAGAGAGAGAGAGAGAGAGAGAGAGAGAGAGAGAGAGATGCCTCAAACCGACCTTTGGTTAAACTCGGCGGTTAAACTCGGCACACTCGTCTTATCACCATAGTTTCCCGCGCCCTGGTGGGGGGGGGGGCTATTCCCCCCTCCAGACTTTTCGATATAGGTATCTCCAGAACCGCTGCGCCGATCGTCACCAAACTTTCAGTCAGGGGTGTCGATTTTTCAAAATGGTTGGGGGTGCTCAACCCCTGCACCGGGTGAAAGATTGTAGCTTTGCCATGGGGCACAACCGTACCTACAAGGCATGGTTGTGTATCCCCATAAGGTACTGATAATCCCGGGATTTCCACTAATATTTCCCAAAGGTTGAACGTTCTTCAAAATCATTCTGCTCGTCCTAGTACTTGGCTACCTCATTACATAAACATCTTTCCGAAAAAAACGCGTACATTTGCCGGCAGCTCGGCAGCAGCCCCGACACCTCTGTAATAAGGTGACAGAAACCGATGACCGCGATTAGCACCGGTGCAGCAGCCCCTGCGGTCCGCAGGGGCGGACATTGCGCGGGAGGCAACGGTATAGCTACGAGGCTCTGGCGTTTATCAGACGATCACAATAATCGCTGAAAAAATAACAGGTGATTGCAATTCGATATTTATGGGTTTACGATTTTCCTCAGTGGCGTAGCCAGGTGGGCCCGTGAGCCCCCCCCCCCCGCCCCATCAGGTTCAGGGGCCCATCGGATTATTCGGGCCTGAGGGGCACTGCGGCGCCAATTGGCCACTGAGGGTCCACGTTGGCTATATTTGGACTCAGAAGGGCCCCACAGGGCTCGTAAGAACACCTCATGGGCCCAAAAGTACTAACATTAAGATCTCCATAAGGGCCCCAAGCCAGCCTCTGAGGGCCACTTGCCGGCCTCTGGGGGTCTTAACCGCCCTCTAGGGGGCCAGCTCTAGGAGCTGCACACCCGCCTGTAATGGCCCCACACCCATTTCTCTGAGGGCCCCTATAACGGCGACTGTGAGGGCCCTCACCGGCGCCCCTGAGCGCCACACCGGCGTCTCTGAGGGCCCCACACCCCTAACTCTGAGGCCCTATACCAATGCCTTTAAAAACCCTACATGGGCGGTTCTGAGGGCCCTTGACAGTTACCAGCGACCCTGACGGCCCCACACAGGTGACATGGAGGGTCCCAGCGGCGTCTGAGCGCACCATGCCAGTCTCTGAGAACCCCACAAGGCTCCTGAAGGCACCGGTGACCTCTTGATATCTTCTTGTCGGCCTATGAAGGATCCGTTCCGTAACAGCAGTTCTGAGGGCCCAACGCGCGCCTGTGATGGCCCTAAACCAGTGTCTCTGAGAGCCCCCACACCGGCGCCTCCAGTCCGAGGGCCCCACATTGCCATATCTGAGGGCCCCACACTAGTGCCTCAAGGCCCTATATCGGCGGCTCTGAGGGCCCAACATCGTAGCTTCTGAAGGCCCCACAAGTGCGCATGTGACGGCCACCCTGCCACCGGTGACATTTGAAGGCCCCACACCGGCGACTCTGAGGGCCCCATCAGCGCCTGAGCCCGTTCCGGTCTCTAAAGATGACCCCACAGGATTTCTGAAGGTACATACCACCGGCCTCTGATGACCCTTTGCCGGCCTCTGAGGGCCCGTCGCCGGTCTCTGGAGCCCCCTGCCGGCTTGTAAAGGGTACGCGCCAGCAGCTCTAAGGGTCCGACACCCGTGTACGACGGACCCACACCATCTTTGCAACTTAACGTTTTTTTCGCCCTTCTTCTTAAATCTAAATTTTCTTTTCTTTACATCTTTATTTCATGCCTTGTAAATTGCGTAATTGTTTTATTTTTAGTAGTGAACTACTGCAGAACAATTATTTTCCTCAAGCAGAGTTATTGAGGGACAAAACCATTGGGGGTGCCCGGAAAACCATTGGGGGTGCTCATTTGAGCATTGGGGGTGCTGCAGCACCCCCAAAGGTATACAAATCGACACCCATGCTTTCAGTACCCTCCCGGACATCAATTATACACATTGTGACCAAAATTTTCCAAAGGCTATAATAGGCTGGCCGGAAATGACGTCAGAGTGACGTCATGTTCTGCCAATTTCGACCCAAAAAAGGGTTTCGCGGGAAAAGCTGTCAGGCCTATAGCTTTGCAAATACAGAAAAATGATAAGACTTAAAACCTGTGAAATTGACAGAGCTACAAAACTGCTATCTCTGGTTTTTGAAATTTTTGGATTTTGACCCCCAAAAATAAAAAATAGATTTTTTGAATAGGTATAGCCGAAAAATCCCATTTTTTTAATTTCGAAAAAAACGGAACATAGGGTTTCTATGTGATAGTCCTTACCACCTTCTATCCACATACCAAATTTGAGATCGATACCTCTTTTTTGGCCAAGTTATAGCGAAAAAAACTTCAAAATTGATGACGCCAAATTTTCAAACTCAATTTCTAGTAATTCTAGACCTCGTACAGCACAAAACAGAGACCACCATTAGACTCCCCGTGACGAGCTGCATTGAATCAATACCCATTTTATGCAAAACCATCAACTTCAAAATTTGACCTTTTTTGACCTGACCTTGACCTGACCACCAGAAACTAGAAAGTGACATAAGCCGTACCTGATGGTCTTATAACCAACACCATTGAGTTGGAAATGAAAAATTGGCCATAAAACATGCATTGCACAACGTTAGTAAAGTTGGGTTCATGTGTTGACCCTTGGTGACCTGACCTGTGACCTGACCTGGTATTGTCAGTGACCTGTAATAGCAACATATGTACTAGGCAGCTGACGCCCTATCGCTGAAACATTTCATCTTTGACCTGACCTGTGACGTCATCGGTGACCCCGAGGTCAATGAAATTTGGTTTCCTTCGACAAATTTGACAGGCCTTTCGAACGTCGTTTGAATTTTGTGGATCCGTCCAGTAGTTTCGGAGATATGAGGGGTGGCAAAAAATAGCCCCCCTCCCTCCCCCCCACCAGGTCATGTTATAAACAGACCCCACCAGGGCGCGGGTTAACGTAGAATGGAAATGTGCACGCACTTTGGAAAGGTTTACAATACAACCAAAATACTTGGCTAGCATTTATTACATTTGAGCAGTGGCGCGGGAACCGGGGGGGGGGGGGGGGGGCTAGCGGGGGCTGAGCCCCTCCAGCTTTTCGGCTGGGGGGCTCCAGCTCCGTTATATTGTGTATTGTGTATATTGTTATACACAATATACCTAACGGAAGAAAGCATGCAAGTGAAAATTCCACCTCTTTCACTGTCTCGGCAACTCGTTTGGCAGATTAAAACCTTAAGGCCCGGGGTTCGAATCCCCGTACAGCCCAAATCTTTAACGAGCTTGCAAAAGATGACTGATGTCATCACTGTCAACCGTGGAAGCCGTATGGCTACCCATCTACGCTGGAGTACGAAAAACATCATCTCACGTTCTCAGTCCCAGCGGATAAAAACAACACCTAAGGATTATTTCAGGTTGCCAAAACGGTAGTTTCTTCACTCAGCTGAGACAGAATACCTCACTTTTTTGCAAATATTTCGTTTTTTTTTTTCGTTGAAAAAGGCAAAGGTCTGAAAAATATGTAGCCTAAAACCGGTGAGAAAACTAGATTTGGGAATTGAGGGTTACCCTAGGTTGATCTCTATTATGGTTCAGCTCAGCCCCCCCCCCCCCCCCAGTCTGGAAGAAGTTCCCGATCCCGCGCCACTGCATTTGAGGAACGTTTCACTGGGCAAATTGGCTGATAAATAAAGTAGATTCGCTAACTCCTGATGTCTGCCCTATGACGTTAGGTACTTCAAATTGGCATTGTAAAAAACAAGTCAAGTATGTAGACAGACGGATGAATTAAAAATGCGCCGTTTCTTGCGGGTAAATACCTACGTAGTGGCTGGTGCGGCACCAACTTCAGGCTTCTCCATAAGGCAAAGGATATGTTTGCCACAGTCCACACACGAGAGTGCAGTGCAGTACAGTCTTCCTTCCCACAAAGGAACATTGTAAAACCACATACCCTGAGAGTTCAGTGCGGTGCAGTCTAGGTACCTACCCGTGAGGCCGTGAACCGTGCAAAACCACACACACACACACACACACTGATAGCGTACTGCGGTAGGGTACAGACTACAGTCTACCTTCCAGTGATGAGTGAACCGTGTAAAATTACACACTGATATTGTAGTGCGGTGCAGGTAGTCTACCTACACGTGAACAATGCAAAACCATACGCTAGTATTGTAGTGCAACGCAGTCTTCTTTCCAGTGAACCATGTAAAACTACGCACACTGAGAGCAGTGTAGTGCGGTACAGTCTACCTACCAGTGAACCGTGTAAAATCACACACCCTGAGAGTGTAGTGCGGTGCAGTCTACCTTCCCGTGAACCGTATAAAACCACGCACCCTGAGAGTGTACTGCAGTACAGTCTTCCTTCCAGGGAACCGTATAAAACCAAACATACTGATATTGTAGTGCAATGCAGTCTTACCTACCCGTGAACCGTATAAAACCACATACTGATACTTAAGTGCGGTGCAGTCTACCTACCAGTGAATCGTGTAAAACCACACACCCTGGGAATGTAGTGCGGTACAGTCTTCCTTCCAGCAAACCGTATAAAATTACACGCTGATATTGCAGTGCGGTACAGTCTACCTACCAATGAACCTTAACCCTCGCATGTGTAGGGGGGTTCGGATGGACCCCCCATGGTTTTTCGCGAATAACTCGCGTAAAAAGCGCCCGAGCGAGACGAAACTTTCAGTACTCTCGCATTGATCAATTTTACACCCACCCTGAAAATTTCATGACCCTGACCCCAATGACCTTTGACCTGTGACCTCTTTTCCGAGACCATGTTTGGCCGGAATCGCGATTCCGCGTATGTCGGCTCGCATTAGCCGCGTGTTTGCAGGCTTTTCGTGGTTTCAAACGTTCAAACATGTGATTTGATGTTGCTCCCATGCATTAGGGTGGGTGTCAAGGTCACCTGAAGGTCAGGTCAGGTCAGTGACCTTTGGTGACCTCGGTTCACTTTTTCGAGTTTTACATGTTTCTAGGCTAGTTTTTGGAGCTGAATTCGAATTTAGCAACCATTTGAACATTAACGAAGTAGTTTTGGTGCCTTCGTAACATGTTACGAAGCTGTCAGAGGCGGTTGACACGTACCACGAATACCCGTCACGACCCCTACTGGTTGACCTGACCTGACCTGACCCGACCTGGTCAAAATGCTTAAAGACATCATCTGTGATCAAAACTAACACGATATTCGTGATCAGCACCCCGAAAAACCCCTTAGCAGCCACATTTTACGACTTTCTAACAGGTCCCGATTTTCCCGACTTTGGGTCATTGACCTGACCTGGAAGGTCAACCAATGACCTAGGACCTTAAAATTGGGTATCATCGGCTTCCTCTCGTCACGGGCAACACGCTCGTTTTTTCCGCGAAGCTCTAGCTCGATCAGGGGCCAAATGGCAAGGGGGGGTCCAACCGACCCCCCCCCCCCTACACATTAGAAGCTGGCAAACGCCGCACACATGCGAGGGTTAAGCCACACATAGGTACCTACTGAGAGCGTACTGCGGTACAGTCTACCTTCCAGTGAACCGTATAAAACTACACACTGATATTATAGTGCAGTGCAGTCTTACCTACCCGTGAACAATGTAAAACCACACATGAGAGTGCAGTGTAGTACAGTCTACCTACCAGAGAACCGTGTAAAACCACACATTAGGAGCGTGTAGTGTGGTAGTCTACCTACCAGAAGTTCGTTTTACCACAGTCGCCACACTCTGAGGCTGTAGTGCGGTACATGCATCGCTGAACGTAAAAAATCAGACATGATTTGGTGTATTCTGTCGCCTTCTGGTAGTTATATAATAACGCCGTCATCTTTGCTTGAATTCTTAGAACACCATATTGATATTTTTACATCCAAAGAAATTATCAGCTTCGGCATCGTGTATTTGTATTGAAACCTTAGATGTTGAGGTGAAAAGCAATAATTGATCTTCTGATCGCCAGCTTTACACATGCTATGGATGCCTGACTCGCGAAAATCATATTAATATACCCGGACCTGTCCCGGAACTGACTGCACAGGAATCGGCATCCACCGGAGGCGGAGCAGACGGCACAGGAATCGGCTTCCACCGGAGCAGACGGCACAGGAATCGGCATCCATTGATGCCCAGGGGCGGTGAGATCACAATAAGCGACAGGAGAGACGCGTGGGGTGACTTCGCCGGCCGAATGCCGCGACCGAAAACTACACAAACTGCTGCAACTATGGAGCTGAAAGACGCTCGGCCGTAGTGAAAAGACGGAAAGACGACAGACAGAGTCGGCGCGCATTAACAGGCAGCCGGGGGAGTCGGCATGGTTCCCAGTGTCTCAACTCGCGCTGCTGACGGGTTCACGTGTTCAGCGCGAGTCGGTGGCACGGTGGAGATCCAGCAGAGGTAGAGTGGGGAGTGAATGGAGAGAGTGCTGGATGATCCTGCGGGGTGAGATGAGCGGCCGCTGGAGTCGCGTGGTCACTGGTAGCTGGGCGCCGCCGGCGCCGTCTAACCAGTCATCATGGCCATGAACTCTGGCAACACGAGGTCACAGGTCAGTATCGGAGGTCAGTGCCAGCGACAGTGTATAGGTTCGGATTGGAAAACGAGCTGACTGTCGTCGAAAACAACGTATTGATTTATTCATGTATAATGATAGATGACCTACAATCATACAATTCATAATAGAAATGTTCTGTTAGATCAGATGCTACCGCGGGCACCCTGACATTAAGTACAATATCAACTTAGATCATCTCATATGAAATTGGATGTCATTTGGTGCACTAGCTGTGCATCACTGCTTGTCCCGGAATCAGTAACCGATAGGAATTGCGCTGTTTTTTCACGATCCGCCATCCCGGCACAACCCTCAGTCCGGCTGCAGTTCGTGCTGCCGCGGCTCCCGCCACGCCCTCCTCCCGCGCGCCCCCTCGGTCCGGCGCGCCGCGGCTCCCCCTCAGTGCGGCGCGCGGCGGCTCACCGTCGAAGTCGACGGTGCCGGAGCCGTCCTCGTCGATCTCGTCGATGATGCCGAGCAGCTCCTCCTCGGTAAGTCGCGGGTCGAGCTCGTGCAGGATCTCCTTCAGAGTCTGAGTGGTGATGTAGCCGTTTCCTGGCGGTCGGGGGGACAGCGCAGCGTGAACGGCCTGCTCACTGCTCACGGCTCACTGCTCACGGCTCACTGTTCACTGCTCACTGCTCAGACTCGGTAAATGGCCGGACCGAGTGCGAGGAAAATCGACTATCTGTTAGTTGCTCTTAATAAATGTGGAAGAAAAATTTGATGTATATCAACAAAGGCATGAAAATTAGGTTATTCGCAAAGATATTTGCTAGTTTAATGTCATTAGTACCTAAATACAATATAGTTACTATAGCTGCCTACTTCTAGAACCACCGAAACATAAAACAAGCTGCATAGGTTCGATTCCCATCGTCAATGAACTGACTGATCCCCACCCGCGGTGCGACGGGCGGGCTCCTCACCCTGCCCCTCCCAGGCCCGTTTGGCCACCACCGGCCACAGCGCGGACAGCGGCGGACTCACCTTCCTTGTCGTACAGGCGGAACGCCTCCTTGAGCTCCTTGAGCATGGCCTCCTCGTCCTCCTCAATGAGGAACTTGGCCGACAGCTGCAGGAACTCGGGGAACTCGATCTGACCCGAGCCTGCCGACAGGGTCACGATAGGTCAGCCTGGACAGGAGGTCGGATGCCATCTTCAGACGTAGCCCTTCATCCGTATCGGTGTTACACACTTAAGCTAAGCAAGCCTTTTCTTAAGATTAAGAATGTCCATCAGTTATACTATAAGTAAATGGATTGATAAGTTTGCTCTGGCGTGTTGACAGACGGATAAAGCTGTGAAAAACCTGTGCCAAAGGTTATGTTTCTCCATCAACACCAGGCCGGAAACGAATGAATGAGGTGCAGTTAGACGTGTTTACTGATAAAACACGGCCGCTCAGCCAGCTACTACACTCCAAAAATAGCTGCTGGTAAACAGTCGTGTGAACTCAGTATGAGTGCCGCCCATTATTACAAGGCGGACGCCAGTGAGAGGCGTGCTCTCTGTACGGTAGGTACGCCGTACGTGTCTGGTGTTTGGCGTGCTCTCTGTGCAGTATGTGTCTGATGGCCTCTGTACAGGTGTCTGGTGTTTGGCGTGCTCTCTGCACGGTACGTGTCTGATGTTTGGCGTGCTCTCTGTCTGGTATGTGTCTGATGTTTGGCGTGCTCTCTGTACGGTATGTGTCTGGTGTTTGGCGTGCTCTCTGTCTGGTATGTGTCTGTTGTTTGGCGTGCTCTCTGTACGGTATGTATCTGGTGTCTGGCGTGCTAGCTATCCGGTCAGTCCGCTGTCGCCGGTGACGGCCACTGGTGCTGTGTGCTAGCTGTGTTGGCGTGCTAGCTATCCGGTCAGTCCGCTGTCGCCGGTGACGGCCACTGGTGCTGTGTGCTAGCTGTGTTGGCGTGCTAGCTATCCGGTCAGTCCGCTGTCGCCGGTGTCGGACACTGTCGCTGTGTGTTAGCTGTGTTGGCGTGCTAGCTATCCGGTCAGTCCGCTGTCGCCGGTGTCGGACACTGTCGCTGTGTGCTAGCTGTGTTGGTGTGCTAGGTCAGTCCGCTGTCGCCGGTGACGGCCACTGTCGCTGTGCCGCCACTGACCGTCCTCGTCGATCTCCTCGATGATCTGTTTGAAGGAGGTGGAGGAGACCTTGATGCCCATCATGCGGAGGATGTCGCTGACCGTCTCCGGCGAGATGTAGCCCTTCTTGTCGCGGTCGAAGCTGTCGAACGCCCTCCGCAGGACGACGATCTGCTCCTTCTCCAGACCCGTCTCCTCCTGTGGGGGGGGGGGGGGGGCAGTCAGTCACACAGTCACACAGCCAGGACGACAATCTGCTCCTTCTCCAGACTCGTCTCCTCCTGGGGGGGGGGCAGTCAGTCACAGTCACAGTCACAGTCACAGTCACAGTCACAGTCACACAGGACAACAATCTGCTCCTTTTCTAGACCAGTCTCCTAGCGGGTGACCAGGAGCAGCCAGACAGTCAAAATCACATAGTAACAGTCACACAGTCACAGTTAGACGCTCACATTCAGTCACAGCCGATATTCACGCAGTCACAAATGTATGAGACACCGTCACACGGTCACAGTCACATCCAGTCACAGTCTCAATCCCGCTGTCACATAAAGTCACAGTCATATGCTGTCAGTGGGATAGTCACAGTCACACGCTCATATTCACATATAGTCACAGTCGGTAGTCACACAGTAATAAATAATAATCACACAGCCCGTCACACAGCAATTTAATCATTCAGTCCTAAGCAGTCCTACAAACGGTGACAGTCGATGTCACAGCCTTTCATCATCTAACTATTTTTATGCATAGTTCTCAAGTCACAGTCAAAGAGACACAAGTAGTGTGCAAGTAGTTAATTTCGCAGAACTGTAAATAATAACCAGTAGCGGCGGAACACCTTCAATTAAGGGGGCGGGGGGGGGGGGGGCACTGCCGACTTCTGGTCCTATTCTTTCCATGCAACGCCCATAGGGCTAATGTTAAAATGCCAAAATCAAAGGGGGCACGGTGCCCTGGTGCCCTCCCCGTTCCGCCGCCTATGATAATAACTGTTGGTTAGTTTAATTTAGGAAATGTTTTGAAGTGCCGTCCTTTCCAATTTATGTTATGAGCAGAATTGCTGGCATTCTTATACCTAATGGTACCGGTGCTGACAAATGCGCATCCTAGAGTTGACGGATTGATCATATACTGGGAACGTCAACATCGGCTGATATTTGGCTGAAATTCCTCAAATTCATTTTGCCTTTCAGTGAGCCTTCAGCCTGCGCAACTGAAATAACAAATTTTACGTTTGAATGCGCAGTGAGTATTTTACCAGATAAGCCTATATGGTCTTACCGGAGTTACGACCTGTAGATGGTCTATGTGGTCTTACCACATAGCTCGAGTTACGAGCTGTCGCCTGGTCCATCACCTATGGGTATCACTTCTGCCATCCCCTTGTCCACCCCAGCCGCCCGTCTCGTCCCATCACTCACTGGTGAGGGACTGGGTGATCACGGGGCGTCTCCTAGTCATCCATCCCCCTTTCCACCCCAGCCGCCCGTCTCGGTCCATCGCTCACTAGTAAGGAGCTGGGTGATCACGGGGCGTCCCCCCCCCCGCCGCCCGACCTGCCCCTCCATCCCGTCCTTACCGCATACTGCTCGTCCTCTGACATGGCGTTCCGAGGTGTGGGGTGAGGCGGGCGGTCCGGGGAGTGACCTGCGGGCGACACGGGCAGCCGGCGGCGACTGGTCCCGGCGCCCGGTCAGCAGCTCTGTGCCCGGCTGCCCGCCCCGCCCCGCTGCTCCGGCTATTTCCGGCGCCCTGTGCCATCGGGCGTGTCGTCGATTCCAGTCGCTTGCTCGGCGGGCCGCCGCGCGCTGAAACTGGAGAGTGGCTGGCCCCGTGCTCGACCCAAATGGCCCCCCGTCCGCCCCAGGTGCCAGGGTCAAGTGGCAGAGCCCGACGGTTCGCGGAAGGAAGCAGGTGCCTGGAGCACGTTCAATGCTCAAGAAAACAAAACGGCTGTAGCCTGTAAGAATAGCCGACAATGCCATAAGATTAGTGACATCAGGCAAAGGGCTAAGTGATTTTATTTGATAAGAACGAGCAATTGCTCAAGCCTCAAGATTGCGTAAAAGTCGGTAGAATTTTAACGCAAATGCGACAAGTGGTGTTTCTATAATTGAGGTAATTTTATCCCCACCGGCTTATCGGGTTTTCAATAACCCGCTCCGGGCGAGGCCAGGGGCTGGGGGCGGGGCGGATGGATTCTCCCTTACCTTTTCAGCCCTAATTGACGGCCGTATTCACGTCGATCTTTTTCGTAAGAATTTTCTTAAGTTTGACCTACTTCTTAAGTAAATTTTTTTAATCACCTGAACTCCATCGATAAAAACTTAAGAAGTGTCGACGTGAATACCAAATTATACTTACGAAAGAAAATCGACTTACGAAGTCGACGTGAATACGGCCCCTGAACCTTCGCGGCAAAAAAAGCACGCCATTACGAGACGCAGCGACTGGAAGAACCCAATTTTAAGGTCTTAGGTCAACCAGTGACCTCTAAGGTCAGGCCGAACTATCCAAGGTAGGGGCCTGATTTTTTTTTGTGAGTAACTTGGCAAGAATGATCGCAGTCTAGAAATTTTAAAACCATCGTGTTTGACATGCTTGATGCTCGAGCACGTCGAATGATACGTAGGTATAGGTATGGAGTATGGACTATGGTTTGTGAGAGATCCACTTAGGGTGTTGATTTTAGATCAGTCAATGTGAGGCCAAAAGCCACGCAGGCTACAAAATTGGTCAAAGGAGGTCATAGTGAACCTATATCATCTGATTTTGGCAGGCCATTATGACCCCGTTTCCATGGGCACCACTGATCCGGATCAGTGCCTTGTAAGGGCTTAGGCTGCCCATGGAAATACCCGTAAGCCCGTACCGATGATCCGAAGTCAAATGTGGTCGGATGGTCGGATGGACCCCCATGTTTTTTCGTGAATATATCGCGCAAAAAAGCGGCCGATCGCGACGAAACTTTCAGTACCCTCGAGTTCATCAATTTTACACCTATTCTGAAAATTTCATGACCCTGACCCATGTGACCTTGGACCTGTGACCTATTTCTCGAGGCCATGTTTGGCCGGAATCGCGATTCGGCGTATGTCGGCTCGCATTAGCCGCGCGTTTGCAAGCTTTTCGTGGTTTCAAACGTTCACACATTTGATTTGGTGTTGCTCCCATTCATTAGGGTGGATGTCAAGGTCACCTGAAGGTTAGGTCAGGCCACTGACCTTTGGTGACCTCGGTTCACTTTCGAGTTTTACATGTTTCTTGGCTAGTTTTTGGAGCTGAATTCGAATTTAGAAACCATTTGAACATTTAAGAAGTAGTTTTGGTGCCTTGGTAGCATGTTACGTAGCTGTCAGAGGCGGTTGACACGTATGCACTACGAATACCCGTCACGACCCCTACTGGTTGACCTGACCTGACCTGACTCGACCTGGTCTAAATGATTCAAGACATTATCTGTGATCAAAACTAACACGATATTCGTGCTCAGCGCCCCGAAAAACCCTATATCAGCCACACTTTAGTACTTTACGACTTTCTAACAGGTCCCGATTTTTCCGAATTTTGGGTCATTGACCTGACCTGGAAGGTCAACCATTAACCTAGGACTTTAAAATTGGGTATCATCGGCTTCCTCTCGTCACGGGCAACACGCTCGTTTTTTCCGCGAAGCTCTAGCTCGATCAGGGGCCAAACGGCAAGAGGGGGTCCACCCCCCCCCCTACACGTTAGAAGCTGGCAAACGCCGCACACACGCGAGGGTTAAGCCTAAGTAGAAGTAAGTAATAGTGTATGTATACGATTTGTCAATCATTGCCTACCACTGTTAATTAATGACACCTCCAAACTGTTATGTGACGTTCTATGACCGTGTTTCTGGACGGCGCTGTCGTTTGTCACCCCGCTGTTCGCCGCTCCGTCTCACAAATTCATCGTGACGTCTCCGTAACACCCGACCGCCAGCCGACACTCGCTGTGAGCCAGGGGTGACGAATGGGCGTCATCCGCTGCCGGTGGCCGCGCCGGGCCCCCTCTCCTGACCCCTGGCCCCGGCCCCACCCCGACCCCGGCCGGCTGGACGCAGCGCGCTGGCCCCCGCCCCGACCCCGGGCCGGCCCTGGACGCAGCGCGCTGGCCCGTTCCAGTCGCGTTGGCAGCAGTCCCAGCCGGGAGGGCGGCTCCACACAGGTGTGTGGACGGCTCGCTCCCAGCCCGGGGCGCTATTTGTGGCCCGGTCGACACTGAACTGACCGGCGCACAGCAAGCCCCAGTGACTGACGGAGAGTGGTCGGTGGACCGCGGCCCGCGGGAGACGGCCGGAACAAAAACAGGCCCCGTTCCGGGTGCTTTACTACCCGGGCAGAGTCGAGCGATGGACGGCCGGCGTCGGTGACAGTTTTGTGGCCGCGATGACGGACACGATGTCGGCGATGACGGACAGGATGTCGGCGCCTCGTAACTTCACAGCAACAACATCACTAGCAGCGTTAAATATAAATATACGCGGAATCTCAGAAATACAATTTGGTAATGTCAATGTCGACTGCGTGCAGTTGAACGGATTTTCTTTCGATTATTGTTTACAGTAACAATTAAGCTTCCTACACATTTTCCCAAAGGCCCCACAGCACGCCACCTCTCCCCCATTTGTCTCCCGCGTGTCTGGGCTCTACTATAATCGCTCCTGCGAGGACGTGTCTCGGGGGTTCCTCGCATTCCTCCGTTCGGCCTGCCGGTCACAGAGGGGCACAGAGGGCCGCCTGTGCCAACACAATTGCTGTGCCGGCGCCGGGCCGGGCTGTCGGACAGGACAGGTGGCGTGCGGCGACACCGCAGGCCGGCCCGGCTCCAGCCGCCGCCAGCCCACCCCGCCCCGGGCGGAGGAGGGTCACGTGACCCGGCGTCACCGGACCGGCACTCTGATTGGTCAGTCGCGCGGAGCGACCACCAATCGCAGGCGGTGGAGGTAATTGGAGCCTAGTTATGAGCCGAGCTATCAGCAGCGACTCTTGCCCCGGTGATCGCTCTTGGCAGGGCCCTATGCTCCTCCTGGTTGAGTGAGTGGGGTGGCTAGAGGCAAGCTACACGAGCTGCGCATTTCATGCGTTCAAAATTTAAGGTGTTGCGAGCAAAACCTTTTCGCATAGTGTCGAATGGTTAACAATAAGCATGGTTTTAAATTTTAATGATACGATCATGGTAATTGGCATTAAAGCAAAAATAGCAATAGAGAACCCATGCAAATTGCAGCCACTCACGGGACGCGCTAGCCAGCGACGCTGGCGTTAAAAAACCGACAGAGCCAGCGTGATCCCGCAGCAGTGCCTGCAGGGCGTCGTTTGATTTGCCCGGGTCCGGGTGGCTCGCGGAATGGCGAGGCCGAGGGGTGAGGAGGGCGTCGTTCGGCTGCCGTCTCTGCTGGCAGACGGTCCGGCTGGTGGATACACTGGGTCAGAGTGTTTATCGCGCCCCACATCGGCCCCACACCGTCACCGGCACCCAAACACGGCCCACCCGGCCGGACGCCGATGAACAACAGCCGTCCGTCAGAGCGGGCGGGGAACGCCGGCACCCCCCCCCCCGACCGGCGGGGGGGGGGGTGCACCCAGCGGAAAGATGGGAGATAGGCCGAACTGCGCCGACAGTGACCCGAGTGTAATTATAGGTCAGTAGCTGAACTAAACCAGGCTGTCGAATCTGAATATATACCTATATGTTGCAGGCACTTTAGAAAATCAGTCATTTTGTAAAATGCCTAGGCATTTTACAAAAAGACGGCTGTTTGAAAAATGACTGAACGCAACCAGGCTTTTTTTCAAAATGGCTAGCCATTTTACAAAATGACTAGGCATTTTGCAAAATGCCTGACCAGCATGGAACGTAGATCCCACAACAGATACTATGGCCAACAGTTTTTGGACGTCTTCCTATACCCTATAGGTACAGCCCACCGCTAAAGAAATGTAGGGTTTTACCAATCTCAACGGTTGGCTTTGACTGGCGATTGTTAAATGCAGAGTGATCGAAAAGAAGATGTCAATAGCTAAAGTTGCCGCTGCAAGGGTGACGATACATATAAGCTACATTCAAAGTTTCATTGTAGTCTGGCTAATCGTTCCTAAGCTTCATAAGCAGAACATACCCATGACTGAAACCCCACATTACTTCTGCTGTGGACTGTACGTGTTCAGCCTGTAGCTGATCGATTTGAAGCTCTGTGATGACGACAATGCTGAGTAGCGACCAGGCTGAGTTGCAGACTCGGCTGTAGCATAAAGCATTGTTTATTTCTTCCTAACTTTCCTTTGGAATAAAAAAGCTCTCTGATCACAATGAATATTAAAGCAATAATTAACAAAACACGATTAATTTTGTTTTGTGGCAACAGCTTTGAGTACCTACTTGCATGGTCCCAGTTAAAAATATCAAGCTCCACATCGGGAGAATCATCAGGTCGCTTGGCGTAGGACGAGAGCGTTGGTTTCAGAAGACACGCCTAAGTGTGTGGGATCGAATCCTCGCGACCTCTGACAGTTTTACAGATACAGGCCGGCATAGAGCCAGTCGTTTGTTGACGCTCCAGATCGATCATTTTAAATCCAGCAGCGTCGCTGACGTGGGGGTTGGAGATGTCGCGGGCCTGCACTTCTCAAAATAGAGGTAGGTATGGACTTCCCACTGCTGGACTCCTCTGGTCATAATGCTGGACTCCTCGGTCCACCTACACGCTACCAAAACGTATATAATTAGGTACTCGTATCTACAACACGCTGCTAAGTCATTTTGTAAAATGGCTAGGTATTTTGTAAAATGCCTAGGCATTTTGCAAAATGACTGGAGAGTCAGTCATTTTGTAAAATGCCTAGGCTTTTTGCAAAAAGCCTGGAAAATCAGGCATTTTGCAAAATGCCTAGGCATTTTACAAAATGACTGATTTTCTAAAGTGCTTGCAACATATACATTACACATTGACGGCAGTGGCAGTTTTATGTTAACGGATCCTTAGATTTATTTATAAAGTTACACTTCTACCTACAAGGTAAAATGCATGGGTAAGCAGTAAGTATTGTGCTCAAAAGTAAAAAATCTGCATAAATGGCCAGAACATTTTGCTCGTGGCGAGAATTATCGCTGTAATCTGCATACAATGCAATCGTTAACCTGTTAAGCACCGAAGGTCGACCTGTCGTCCGTCACATAAAGCAGGCGTTAGTTGTAACGTTCCTTGGTCCTTATAACTAGCCAGCAGGTTCGAAAACGCCACGAGCTATTATTATTGGATCAGAATGCAGGCTAACCATACGGTGAGTGCATTACGACACGAGTATAGTGGCGCCCTGGGGCCTGTTGCGTAGCCGTCTTACATGCTGGGAACGAGACGACGCAGGCGGAGCCTTGCGTGGAGATAAGGTCTTCACTAGAGCTTTCAGTGATAGAAGGCATCGTCCAGATGGATCATTGAAAACACATTGCTTTTACGATGACCGTGCAACTTTTTGGGCGTTGTCGGGTGAAGAGCAAGGACCAGCGAATAGAACTTTTGACTTAAACACAAAAGTATAAATAGGTTAAGAAAAGAGCAAAAAGAGACAAAACATGTAAGTAATATAGGGCGTGAACGAAAGAGTGTTAACCGCGCCCCGTAGGGGGGGGGGGACCGAAACGCCCCCCCCCCTGTCCTTTTCCGTCGATATCTCCTAAACGGCTGGCGATATCACCACCAAACTCTCAGGACCCCTCCGGGCATCAATTTTACACATTGTGACCAAAAATTTTCAGAGGCTATGATAGGTTGGCCACAAATGACGTCAGAATGACGTCATGTTCTGCCATTTTCGACCGAAAAAAGACCTTCGCGAGAAGAGCTGTCAGGCCTACAGCTTTGAAAATACAGAAAAATGGTCAATACATAAAAAGTGTAGAATTGACAGGGCTACAAAACTGTCATCTCGGATTCTTAAAATTTTTTAGTTTTGACCCCCAAAAATAAAAAATGCAATTTTTTGGATATACTAGCCAAAAAATTCAAAAAGCTTTTTGAGTTTCGAAAAAACCGGAATGTATGTGATAGTACCTACCGTCTTCTATGTACATACCAAATTTCAGATCGATATCTCGTTTTTTGGCCAAGTTATAGCGAAAAAATTGTTCAAAAATGATGACGTCAAATTTTCAAACTCAATTTTTGGCAATTCTAGACCACGTAGGGCAAAACGAAGACCACCATTGCACTCCCCGTGACGAGCTGCATCGAATCGATACCCATTTTATGCAAAAATATCAACTTCGAAATTTGATCTAATATGACCTGACCTTGACCTGACATTCGCTAAAACGTGACCTAAGCTGGCCCCAAAGGCTGCCCGACCCACATAATCGCATTTGTCATGTGAAATGGACCATAAAACATGTATCACACGACACTTTCATATTGTGACCCCCCAGTGACCTGACCTCTGTGACCTGACCTGGTATCAGTGACGTCATATAGCGAAGTATGTGTTTGACGAACAATGTACCATCGACGGTTTTCAATGACTTACCAATATACTCGATTTCACAACACATTTCTTGAAATGCCTGTGAACGGTGAAAATCCGACCTTTGACCTGACCTGTGACGTCATCGGTTTGACCTAGGTCAATGAAATTTGGTCACAAGGTAGTTCCCGGGTGGGGCTATCCAACGCCGTGTGAATTTTGAAAATCGGCCGGTAAATTCCCAAGATCATAGGGGGGGCCGAAACGCCCCCCCCCCTACGGGTGGTAGGGTCCGCCGGTAGCCCTACGGGGCGCGGGTAGAAGCATAACAATGAATAGAAGCCCTTTTGTTTCTGATCATGATTGATTGGTGGAATATTTACCTATATCATTTTGAAATATTAACCCTATTTTGCTGTTTATCATGTGGCCACAGCTTTTTGTTTAGCAGAAGGCTGAAACAGACCTACCTACCGGACGTCAAGCAGTTGTTTCGTAATATGAGACTTGTGAATATTCTTTCTACTTATTGCACATCGTGATAATACCTGCTTCGAATCGTTAGAATGTCAGTGGCTGCGTAACATGTGACAAAAAACTTACAATCGGCCATCTCAGGTCCAGTAAGGACACGGTTGTAACAGGTGACGGATTGCAGATAATCTCTCAGCTGGGCGGGCTATTTCATTGCGCCGCGACAGCCTATCGCGATGGGCTGTCGGTTCGCGCTCCTCTCCTACCTGTACCGGCTCTTGGTCGGGCCGGTTACGTATTATACGGGTTTTACACGGATGGGAGCCAACTCTGTGTGTGCTGATCGGCGGCCAGCGGTGACCGCCGCTGTGCCGGAGACTGTACCGGGTGAGAGTGGGCCGCGGAGGGTGGACCGTGGACCGTGAACCGCCGCCGTGGAAAGGGACGCCGCCGCCGCCGCCGCCGCCGCCGTCAGTGGTGACTGCACGGCCGCACGTGCAGCAGCGAGGTGCGCCCAAAGAGTGCTGGTGCCATTCGGAGGGCGCCGCGGGGACTGAGTGGTCCAGTGTGCCAGAGAAACGACACGATGAGGGCGGCGATGAGAGGTGAGTCACGAGCTCACCGGCAGCGTTTTCCCGCTGGAGAGCCGGTCTTGCTATGGATTACACACTACCTTCCCGTGAACCAAAGCGTTTCGCTCTCTGGAGACCCGGTCTTGCTATGGATTACACACTACCTTCCCGTGAACCAAGTGCTAACCATAAGCATAGGTGTATAAACGCACTTTGTCATAGGCGTAAAATAAACCAATGTGCCCTACAAGTAAACAGCGCATTGCCTATATTGAATGCGTCGGATGGTAAACAGTACCTATTTGCAGTCTATGCATGGGGTGGGATTTTCTTTCCTAAATCAGATGCCCGGGTGTGATTTCCGTATAAGTTACGTGGCACACACGCTCTCTGGTCGTATGGAAGGACAGCGTGGGAGTTATAAGAAGTTGGTGACCTATCAAATCGGCATGAGTCTCCCTTACTTTCTTAATCACGTCGTACTACGTCTGAACTGTGATGGATGCACAATGCACATGTTTGCCTACAACGCACATTGCACATATAAATACCTGTTTTATTTATGCTAATTGTGTACAGTGACGGATCCGGATGGCCAATAACCATGAGATATCCATTAGGTTATAGGGATAAATGTGTGTTGTACGTGCATTGCTATATTCAGAATCACAACCTCATAAGCAGCGTAGACTAGCCGGTGCTAAAGGAGTAGGTAAAGAAATATCGTAATGCTTGCTGTGGTGACAAAATATAGTATACATATACGACAGCGAGTATTATGGCTTCATTCTATGTTGTAAGGGCGCCGGCCTAAATTGTGTTCCTACTTCCTATACCTGAACCTATGCATATGCATAGCAAGGCTGCAAGTATACTTCTGTAGAATGTCGACAGATCGGTCTAATACCGTAATAAAAATGTAACGCATCTGCTTCTGTTAAGCGTGCAATGCTGTTTGTCTAGCATGTAAAATAACGTTCAGCCAAAGCTAGAAATGAAGCGAGCAATGTGAAGCGGTTTTAAATAGCCTTAAGGCCAGCCGTTTTCATCTGTTTCTTTCATTTAATGCCTTTCAACATATGTTGCATAGTGCATAGCACATAACACTGGCATCGGTAATTGGCATTCCCTTAAAGTCGCATCTACAGCTCCGTTCGTGTCATTTCAAAACACATTCATATCGATGAGAGTCAATAGCCATCGTTTTATATGTAGCTTGCTATGTAGCTCGTACATAATAATAACATTCGAAGAAGCTAACAGCAGCTGGACCACCAGATGAAACGAAACCTTGCAAGCTACCACAAAGGGCTCCAATTTTCAGACTTGGGCAACCTTTCACGCCTGGGTAAAGGCTTTTCAGACCCCAACGGAAGGTGCCGTGGAGTTGTATGATGGTTACTTTCACCTCGCGTGGTTATGTGAACCGCCAGTGTCGGGGCGACCTATGCTAATAGGCAAGAACACTGACGCCCAGGAGGTGTTAGGGGCAGCGAAAGTATTTGTCAGTAAAAACTGGGTCAGACGCCATCAAGGTTGGTGAGGAAAACATCCAGGGGCTGTGGATGAGCTCCTGAGCTTAGCTGAAGAAGCTCTACAGTTGCGACACATAGTCAAAAGCATGCCTGGTACCGGGTGCAAAGAGTGTAATATGCTCTTTCAAGCGACCATATACCCACCTACTGATTGCAATAGCAATATCTTGTTGCTCGTAGGTTGGTTACTAGTACTGGACAATAACACCCTAAAACAGCCGGATGTGCAACAGTGCATGCTAAAAGCCCTGGGCGTGCAACATGGAAGATATGGTTGCCTCACTTTGCTACAGCAATAGAAGCTTTAGTAAAAACAATGGTCAGAACGGGTCTGGGTCACAGTACAATGTCATGATATCAGCTATCACATTATCCTATTTGTACTTGGGAAATTTGTAGCGGTGGACTTGAAGACAGCGGAGAACGCGCATAAAATTTCTTTGAATAACTTTTGAAAAGGTAGCTGTTATGAACGGCCCACAGATAAAGAAATGTGCAGTTTTACTTATCCCAACAGATGACTTTGACTGAATTTTTTAATACGGATTGATCCAGGAGTAGACAGCAAAATATAAAGCTGCAACTGCAAAGATAACGACTACATTTCAAGTTTCATTGTGGTTTGGCAAATCGTTCTTAAGATGCAGAAGCAAAGCATAACCACGACTGAAACCGCGCATTAGTTCTGCGGTGGACTGTACCTACCTACTACCTACCTCATCAAATAGGCTCGCCTATTCGAGTGAGCTGGATGCTGCCCTGATTGCAAAAGATGAATATTGTATTTTAAAAACGCCATTTTACTTCACGGAGCCAAGCTCACGTAGTTGATTCATTCTTCCCGGCTGTCAAGTGGCAGGGATTACAGACCAGACTAGTGACTTGGGTGCGCCTCACCCAGTCAGGGTTACAGACCAGACTAGTGACTTGGGTGCGCCTCACCCAGTCCAGATGGTCCGCCAATGAGCCTTGGCACCAGACGGCATGCACAAATAATCAACACTCTTCGGCAGCGTGTTTAATGTGTTGTGCATGCGATCACCTGCCAAAGTCCAGCATTCAACATTCTACTCGATGAGACATGTTCACACCCAACTGCATAAATAATGAAGATATCTTTTCTAAACAAGCAAGCTTTTCGTGAAACACTTTCAACAAAGCCTGTTGAAAGTGTTTTGAGCCTATCCCATAGCTCAGTTGGTAGTTAGAGCGCTGGACTCCCGGTAGTGAGAGCCCGGGTTCGAGTCGCTCCTGCGCTCGATATTTGAAACTCCTGACGGGGATGGTCTGCGGTTGGTGGGAGCATCCGCAGCCAGTTGAAGTCAGTTGAGTGGGACAGGCCGTGTCCGGATTTGAAGGGCACGTTAAACTTTGGCATCTAAATTCTCCCGTTACCCGGAATTGCGCGATCGGTCGGTAGGGGTCGGGGTCCGCGCAACAAGCTCTGCTTAGCGTGGGCTCCGGCTCTGTCCAACCGTCCATTCAAACACTCGAGCTAAATTTATAAAAAAACAAATGTTTGCAAAATATTCAGAGCGCCACAAGATCGGAGCTATTTCCCGTCCATGTGACGGTCATGGTCTTCAGTGCATTTAATTTCAACTCATTCCATCCAACCCCAGATAATAAATAGCTTATTCAAGTTCGCTATTTGCTCTGACAATCCGTAGTTGCATTAGGCGTTTCATTTCATTCTTGATTAGCTTCTTGTTTTATCTTGCTTCGATTTCGATCAACAACATTCTAGTTTTATCAGTCGGTAGTTATCCATCCCTTTCAATAGTTCATGTATTCTCAATCCGTCTATATCCTGCATGCACAATGCAAATCGCTCGTTTTCGATCAGTTTCTGTTGTAATTAGTTCAGTTCCGTTTCCGTTCCACTTCCGCTCCGTTTCCGTTCCAGTTCGATTCCGTTTTTACTTCGTTTCCGATTTACGCTCCTCCCGTCATCCGATACACTTCCGTTCCGTTCATAGACCCGTTCCGCCACCATGCGTGTAGTTACGTCAATCCCATCGTTGTCGCCCTTCACCCACTGCTCTGTCCGATGCTGTGTTGCCTGTGTCCGTGCCTCTGTCCGTTCCTCTCTCCCCGTCTATCCTTCCTCCCCGGCCCCTCCCTCCCCCGGCGATCTCCACCCGTGCCGGGAGCGCTTCCATTGGTGGAGCCGCGTGTTACTGGGTGAAAGTGGCTCACCGCAGCCCAACTGAGACGGACACTGAGCGGAACGAACTGCCGGAGAGGAGACGCACAGAGACAGCTGATGGAAAAGAGAATGGAGGTCAGCTGTGCACGCCACGATTGTGGCCTTAGCGCCGGACTTAAGTCGGCACAGGGGGTTGATGCAACCCCCTGTGCCGTTGCAAAATCCCCACAGGGGCTTTTCGCATGTATACCTTTGCAGAACACATACCTAGACTTTGAGATTCGAGAAGAATTTGCCCGTAATATGAAATAGCTTTATGTAAATGTATTCATTGACAAAAAAAAAAACATAAATGACAAAAATATCTGAAAAAATGACAAAATGACAAAAATATCTGAAAAGGGAAACATGAAAAATTAAAATTAATATCAGATCAGTTGCCAAGCTGTGAGGTCGCATGCCATGTCACATTCGGCCGAAACTAACGGCTTTGTGAGCTTCCGCCTTCTGGGGCCTGCTTTTGCACTGCTGAAGCAAGATAACACATGGTGGTGAAAAGCGACAACAGAAGGTGTGTTACTGTTTAATTCCTTTTTTATTCTGAGGCTCGAATCCTGAGCCTCAGAATAATGATTTCGAGCGAAATTGATGTTAGATGCCAGATGTCAATCAGCGCTCCCGAGCCCTGAATGTTTCTCTCATGACCGCTCATGTGTCAAGGTCATCCAAGGTCATTCGAGGTTACCTGCGATTAACATTGACGTCGTCATTTCTAAAAAAAAACTGCACTGATTGACACAAATACGAGAAGAGCACGCATAGAATGGTTGCATTATTTTGTAATGCAACCATTCTTTGGATATCATTAGTCATCGACAGTTTTGCTTTTATCCGCCCCCCCCCCCAAAAAAAAACAAGTGAGTGTCATTGACCTGAGCTGTGGGGTCCCCGGTTGGCCTGATAGTCTGATGCTTTACAATCGGGTTCCATTGCTATTTACCGTACATAGAGTGAATGGCTTGTTTTCTTTTGGCATTGTAGTTCATCTTTATTCTTCATTTGTCTTGTTTATCTTTCTTAATAGCTGTGTTGTTATATTTATCTCTGGGGGCGTTGCGAAGTCGCCAAATTTTTGGACCAAGTAGAAGCTCACTTATGACGTCATAGATCATTGACCAAGCCTGACCTGACCTGACCTGACCTACAACTGGGGTTGGTTTATGCTCTCTGTCTCTAACGCGTTCTGAACAGTTGCAAAAATCGCTGAGTGGCACCAACGACCCCCCACCCCCACCCCAGTTGGCGAGGAATAATCAGTTCGCTAATAAATTTAGAAACATGCCTTTGGATCATCAGCGTGCACAACTACATATATGTTCGTATATACAAGTTGACTACAGAATGATGTTTCATTCCTCATAAGCAATCAGGCCCCTGGATCGATAGGCTGTGCCGCATTACACCTGCGGAGTGACGTAGCTTCTCCCAGTGACCCAGAGCTCGCCAAAGGCATGCCTAATTGCATGATTAACGGCTTCACCTAGGAAACTTTCCAGTCAAGTGATCGCTTGAGAGGCCCGTAACATCGCTCTGTAATCAACTGTACTCAAAGTGGCATGACTCCACTTTTCCTTATAAATCTTGTTTCAGCAGTTCAAAATCAAATATTCAGAGAGACGCTCTGAGGTATGTAACAAAACTGGATCCTAACGAAACGGAAAGTGCTTTAAATCCGCCGAACGTGCACGCATGAAACGCTCCTTATCAAAACAGGATAAGTCGGTGCACAAAACTATGCAATGTGTGCAAGGACTTGTAGCAAGTAGTCACAAATAAAAAAAAGATTTATTATGGTGCTAGGCGTAGTTAAGAACAAAAATGGGAACATAATTATCTTCTAAGCTAATCTTTAGCCTTCGCCCCGCTGGGGCTCCTGGCGATAAGCCTGACACTGAGGTGGACGTTTTCAAGACAAAAAGTATAGCACTGAAGGCGGCTGAGCATGAACGGCGATGGTGCTTAAATGATACATCTGCGACCATTTCTTGCGAGCTTTTACCAAAACTGAGTAAAAGGCCAACTCAGTTATTTATTTATCTGTTTATTTATTTACTTATTTATTTATTCATTTATTTATTTCACCACGAATGACACATCAACCGAAAGCAGCGGCTATTCTATGCCTCGAGTCATTAAATGATGAAGGGATGACTACGCACATGCATACAAACATACTCGCACAGTGCACACGTATCATAACACAACACACGAACACGAGATCACTGACACCAGAACACAGTGAACACAGTGAAATCTCTCGGAGCCGGCGTCCCGTCTCAGTCGGAGCGCTGTTTCTCCAGCAGATGCTCCCTCAGTCCCCGTCTAAACCTTGCGGGGCTTAGGTTCCTCAACTCTTGCGGCAGTTAGGGGTGAAACGGCAACGGAAGCGTACCTAACTAGTCCCCTTCCTCCTTCCTTGGTCGGGGCGTATGTAGAAAACCGATAGCTCTGGCGAAAATTTATACGACATTTTATATGATCCTTGTACATGCATACTTTATGCAGTAGGACAGACACTTAGCCGGAAGCCTACCACCAATAAAGAGTGTTAAAGAAAGTGTGGTCCTTGGTCGATAGTTAACGATGATGTTCACATTTAGGCCATAAACTGTTGATGTAACTGTTGATGCAACCTCAACTTCATCAAACCGGTTTCATTGTGTATGTTACAGCTGCCGTACTGCTGAGTGTGCTGGCCGTGTGTGCGTCGGCGGCCGACCGGCCCACTCCTCCCTCCACATTCTCCCCCTCCACATTCTCCCCCTCGACATACTCCCCCTCCACCTACTCCCCCTCCGCCCCCTCGACATACTCCCCCTCCGCCCCGTCCTACCCGTCGACCCCGGCCTCTGTGCCAGCGGTCCCGGCCGGCTCTGGCTCCGTCGGCGGACTCTTCAGCGGCTCCGGCTCCGGCTCCGGCTCCGGCTCCGGCTCCGGCTCCGGCTCCGGCTCCGGCTCCGGTTCCGTCGGCGGGTTCTTCAGCGGCGCCGGCGGCTTCCTGCCCTCGCTGATCCGCGGCATCGGCGGCTCCATCGGCGGCACCATAGGCAGGATCTCGCAGTACGACTGGTCCAACCTCTGGAATAACCAGACGGCCAACATGATCATGCGTGAGTCACCCCCGAGCGCAGCGTGTTGTCTCCGGTAGGAACTGTTTGCTAGCTGTTAATTTCCTCTTATTGGACAGATATAGACGCATCCATTATAATGTGGCTCAGCATTCGAAACTTGTCCTTACGGCCAGCTGTTGAATATAGGCATTAACCCGCGCACCGACGGGGGGGGCGGATATCCGCCCCCCCCCCTGAGGTTTTTCGCGAATGCGCCGCGAAATTTGGTATGACTGTTCCCTCATCAATTTTACACATGGTGTGCAAGTTTGAACCTCCTACCTTTCAAGGTCAGGTCACCAGGTCACTTTGAATGACCCAACCTCAAGTCACTTTTTTGCAACTTTGTCACCGTGCCAGAGCTACAGTAGATGTCGGAGGCCTTTGAAAGTCGCAGGATGTTATAAGGTCATTAGTAGCTACAATTTGTATATCTCGGAATTTTGATATCGGTGACCTAAGGTCAGGTCAATTTCGCGACCTCCCCATTATAAGTCAATGGGGGGGGGGGGGGGAAATCAACTCCCAGTTTTTACCACTAAAACGGGTCGGAATGGCCCCATATGCCATACATGACTTCATATACGATCAACCTTCACTACCTTGAGGTCTGTTTTGCTGTTGGGCAGCTGTGAGGTCATGTGACGTCATCAAAGGTCACCAAAGGTTTTTGGCCAATAACTCCGTACAGGAACAAGATACAGACGCGTGGATGGTCTCATTGTGTTCAGCTCGTCAAGACGCATCGAATGATATACATGATGACCTCAAGGTCACGTGACCTGAGGTCAACCTTTGACCTTGACCTTTCGAGGTCAACATATATATCATTCGATGCGGATTGACGAGAGGATCACGATGATGCCCTTAGTTTGTTCCTATCTTGACTAATTCGAAAGTTATTCGAGAAAAACTCTCTCCATATCTAGCGCCGCCATTTTGACTTTTTCGACCCCTGTGACGTCATCTTTGACCTGACCTGAAAATGACCGTAGTAAAAATTGTGGATCTTAACCGTGCGTATCCGATGCCGTTTACCGCTTGTCGCTATCTTGCTTCGTTCTCGAGATCTCAGGGGGGCGGTCATCCGCCCCCCCCCCCGTCGGTGCGAAGTTGGCGCAGACCCCCGTCGGTGCGCGGGTTAATCTAAAATGCATAAAGAATATATGGACGTTATTCGATATGAATGTTGACATATCATAACCAATCGTCAGATAAAAGACATCCTCTTCTGTTCAACTCACCTCCAATGCCTCTCACTACCAGGCGACGACCACGAGAAGAGTAAGTGTTACGACGACATCGGGTGCGTCAACTACACGGACGCGTGGTTCCACTCGCTGTACCGGCCTGTGAACTTTTTCCCGCTGGAGCGGCGCCTGATCCCCACCCGGTTCTGGGTGCACACGCGCGCCCGGCCCGACTCGAACCTGACCATCTCGGCCGGGGACGACAGAGCGCTGGAGCGGGCCGACTTCAGCGCCGACCGCGACACCAAGTTCATCATCCACGGCTTCCTCGACACGGGCACCGACGACTGGGTCCGGGTGAGTGGGTCCGGATACAAACGACTGGGTCCGGGTGAGTGGGTTCGGGTGAGTGGTGACTGGGTCCGGGTAATTGGGTTCGGGTGAGTGGTGACTGGTGAGTCGGTGACTGCGTCCGGGTAATTGGGTCCGAGTGAGTTACCGGGTACCGATGACAGCGCGCAAAATGAAAAAAATCGCATGAAAGATAAAAGGCTGAATTCTGCTGCGATGTGAAACGAAACAAGCTGCGACTCATATCTCATGTTAACTGCATAGATCGCTTCACATTATACGTGGAATATAATATGAGGTGAATATGAGGTTGGATGAGGTGAATGAGCGAAGAGATGCAAAACGAGAGATCATGAGAAGGTTTATTATGAAAGCAATTCTATTGGCGCGTATTAGAAGATGCAATGCTACTCAGGCACAGATGGTAAAAAGTGAATGGGAAGTGAATGGGGTGACCCTATAGCTAAACTGCCTGGTGATCGCGTATTAGTGAGTGCTCCGATCAAAAAGGCATTGTGCACTACACAATGCAGCTCGTTACATACTAGATGCAGCATTAGTTACAATGCAGCTCGTTACATATTGAGCAATTTGTTGATCATTTTAATTTCGTTCTGGCTATAAGGGTATTATTTAAGTATACCTATCATTACCCAGCAATTCTCACTCGTTGACCGGAATTGTTTGTTTATGTTGGTTTCAGGAGATGGCTCAGCGCCTGTTGGATTACGGCGACTTTAACGTGATCGCCGTGGACTGGCGGTACGGCTCACTGCCCATGTACCAGCAGGCGCTGTCCAACACCCAGCTGGTCGCCATGGAGACCGCCCACCTCATCAGGTGGCTCCAGGTGAGCGCTCAATGCTTACGTAACAGAGCCGCTGCTTAGCTGTGCGGTCGGCAGCGTGTGTACAATGTGGCGAGTTCACAGAGTTTCTCTAATCTGTGTTTGCTGTCTGTTGTTTGTTTTGTACAGTCTGTCGGTGTTACAGACACTCGGACACTAGCTGTCCATACCGCGGCTCCGGTAGTAGTGCCCACTGAACACGTGACATCACGTGTGGGGCCGCCAGCGCGGTATGGCCCGCTGGTGAACCGGTTGTCGCTCTGGGAACCGGTCCCGGCAGTAACGCCATCCGCTCCGGTCTGTATCAGTCACCCCACAGTGCGGCGCCTATCAGCCCCGGGTGTCTGTCTGTCTGTTAGTCCGTCTGTCTGTCAGTCTGTCTGTCTGTCTGTCTGTCTGTCTGTCTGTCTGTCTGTCTGTCTGTCTGTCTGTCTGTCTGTCTGTCTGTCTGTCTGTCTGTCTGTCTGTCTGTCTGTCTGTCTGTCTGTCTGTCTGTCTGTCAGTCAGTCTGTCTGTCTGTCTGCCTGTCAGTCCGTCTGTCTGTCAGCCAGTGTTACAGGCAGCAGTGGTTGAAACTTCACGGACTCGATCAGTGCGCAGGATTGACTATCTAAATGGGCGATGTGGAATGCGTCGCCGGCCGCGCTCCTCGTGTTTCCGCTTCCAAGGAGGCCTTATCCCGTAAAAACTTTAAAGACGTTAAACTTGTATGAGACGTCAGAGTCCACCGGGAGGCCATGAGCTATGCTTATCATTAGGGGCCGATGGATAAAACAAGCTTTCAATGCTTTTATTGCATTGCATTGATTGACTGTTGATAGTAAAATCCATGCTATATGGAGACAGGAGATCATCACACTAAATGAATGAATGAATGAATGAATGAATGAATGAAGGAAGGAAGGAAGGAAGGAAGGAATGAATGAACGAATGGACGGACGGACAGACGGACAGACGGACAGACGAACGAACGAACGAACGAACGAACCAACGAACGAACGAACGAACGAACGAACGAACGAACGAACGAACGAACGAACGAACGATTGAATGAATGAATGAATGAATGAATGAATGAATGAATGAATGAATGAATGAATGAATGAATGAATGAATGAATGAATGAATGGACGGACGGACGGACGGACGGACGGACGGACAGACGGACAGACGAACGAACGAACGAACGAACGAACGAACGAACGAACGAACGAACGAACGAACGAACGAACGAACGAACGAACGATTGAATGAATGAATGAATGAATGAATGAATGAATGAATGAATGAATGAATGAATGAATGAATGAATGAATGAATGAATGAATGAATGAATGAATGGATGAATGAATGAATGACTCGGTGCTAAAGTACCGAACAAAGTTCAACTTATCAAAGATATTAACTTATTTAACTATATCAAAGTTCAACTGAGGGAACATTTAATAAATATAGCTCTCCCGAGTCCCGACAAGCTCCACTACAGGTTATCGTATTCACCATTTATATGTGTGGTTCTATGTAAGTAGTACGGCAAATCTACCAGCCTCCTCCTGTTTTTATACCTCGCCCTGAGTTAGGTTTCTAACACTCCGACCCTGCCGCAGACGGGGCCCTTACACCCGTGTGTTCCCTTCCCTCGCCCTGAGTCAGGTTTCTGACACTCCGACCCTGCCGCAGACGGCGCCTTCACACCCCTCTGCTCCCTTCCATCGCCCTCGGCCGGGTGTCTGACACTCCGACCCTTCCACAGACGGCGCCCTTACACCCGTGTGTTCCCTTCCCTCGCCCTGAGTCAGTTGTCTGACACTCCTGCACCCTGTCGCAGACGGCGCACGGCCTGAACGTGTCTCGGGTGCACGTGATCGGGCACAGTCTGGGCGCCCAGACGGCTGGCTACGTGGGCGCGCGGGTGCCCGGCCTGGGCCGGATCACCGGCCTGGACCCTGCCGAGCCCGGCTTCCAGTACATGGCGCCCGAGGTGCGGCTCGACCCAAGCGACGCCCAGTTCGTCGACGTCATCCACTCGGACGCCAGGAGCTTCATATCGTCCGGTGAGGGACGGGCGTGAAGGGGGAGGGGGTCAGGCCATTCAGGGGGGTCGGGTCATTCAGTGTGGGGAAGTGTCAGGTTATCCACTCGGACGCCAGGAGCTTAATGTCGTCCGGTGAGGGACGGGGGTCAAGTCATTTAGTGTGTGTGTGTGGGGGGGGGGAGGTGCTTGGTGATCCACAAGTCGCCAGGAGCTTAATTAATCTCGTCCTGTGACTTGGGGGTCAGTCACCCTTCAGGGAAGGCTGTTTGTTGGTCGTTGCAGAAGGTCATTTTGTCAGTCCATGACAGGACGTCTGACCCCACCTTCCCATCCAGGTCTGGGAATGCTCCAGCCGTGCGGTCACGTGGACTTTTACCCGAACGGCGGCAAGGACCAGCCGGGATGCAACTCTTACACGCACACGCTGGCCGCCTTCCTGGAGGGCAGTCTGGACGACTTCGAGAGCGAGCTGCTCGCCTGCCGGCACATCCGGGCCGTGCGCATCTTCACCGACAGCATCGTCCAGAAGCCAGAGTGCTCGTTCGTCAGCCACGAGTGCAAGGACTTCGGCGACTTCATGAAGGTGAGGGAGGATCAGGGAATGTCGCGATGTGCATTCGAAGATGCGGGCATGGATGAGTCAGAGATGAATTGGGATTGGAGATAGATGTAGGTGAGTGCTTAACTTTAGTCTGGGTTGGCATTTCATTGTGAAGCTCCACGACGAAATTGTGTTTGACATTTTATGCATTACTGCTGCGATCGCCATGTACAAATAATTGTGCTTCTATATTGTTATTGATCAAAATGAGACCGTTTCCATTTCAGGGAAAATGTAGCACCTGTGGCAAGAACAGCGAACGTTGTGCGTCAATGGGATATCACGCCGACAAATACATCTACAAGAACAAAACGCTGGTGCCGTTTTATCTAACGACGTCCTCGAGAGCTCCATACTGCTGTACGTCACACTGCTGAGAGTTAACCCTCGCATGTGTGCGGCGTTTGCCAGCTTTTAATGTGTAGGGGGGGGGGGTCGGTTGGACCCCCCCTTGCCGTTTGGCCCCTGATCGAGCTAGAGCTTCGCGGAAAAAACGAGCGTGTTGCCCGTGACGAGAGGAAGCCGATGATACCCAATTTTAAGGTCCTAGGTCATTGGTTGACCTTCCAGGTCAGGTCAATGACCCAAAGTCGGGAAAATCGGGACCTGTTAGAAAGTCGTTAAGTGTGGCTGCTAATGGGTTTTTCGGGGTGCTGATCACGAAAATCGTGTTAGTTTTGATCACAGATGATGTCTTTAAGCATTTAGACCAGGTCGGATCAGGTCAGGTCGGGTCAACCAGTAGGCGTCGTGACGGGTATTCGTAGTACGTGTCAACCGCCTCTGACAGCTTCGTAACATGTTACGAAGGCACCAAAACTACTTCTTAAATGTTCAAAAGGGTTGCTAAATTCGAATTCAGCTCCAAAAACTAGCCTAGAAACATGTACAGCTCGAAAAAGTGAACCGAGGTCACCCGAGGTCACCAAAGGTCAATGACCTGACCTGACCTTCAGGTGACCTTGACACCCACCCTAATGCATGGAAGCAGCATCAAATCACATGTTTGAACGCTTGAAACCACGAAAAGCTTGCAAACGCCCGGCTAATGCGAGCCGACATACGCAGAATCGCGATTCCGGCCAAACATGGTCTCGGAAAAGAGGTCACAGGTCAAAGGTTATTTGGGTCAGGGTCATGAAATTTTCAGGGTAGGTGTAAAATTGATCAATGTGAGGGTACTGAAAGTTTCGTCGCGATCGGCCGCTTTTTACACGAGTTATTCGCGAAAAACCATGGGGGGGGTCCATCCGACCCCCCCCCCCTACACATGCGAGGGTTAACAATGTATTTGACGACAAATGTTCTCCCATCAGTGAAGCTGGAAGTATGAGACCTTACAAACCAGTACCTAGAGGCGACAACAGGAATGACAGGCTAATGCACAACAAATCTCTGAGTTTAGTTGCGTCATTTATCAGTGTCATAGTTTGGCTTCATATGTTGTGCATGTCACGTTTTCTATTTCGGATGCTACATGCCCTAGTTTCGTACGTTATTCGTCATGTTCTGGTTTCAGTGCGGCACTATCGGATCAACATTCAGCTGGGTGACCCGGACAATGACCAGCGCGAGGTCAAAGGTCACCTGGTGATCTCCATGTACGGCCCAAAGGGCCGGTTGGAGAGGTACCGACTGCCGAAAAAGTGAGAAAATAACTACTTTATGTATGTAACAAAAGTTGCAATTTTTATTACCATCATTGGATAGTTATACATGTGTGACAAACATCACCATTTCGCAGGCACTGAATGAGCAATAAGCCAAACAAAGATCGGTAAAATTTAGGATACTGTAGCTGTTTTCACGACGGCCATCCGGTACACATTTGGTGCACATCTGGTGCAGATCAGGTGCAGATTTGGTCAAATCAGGTTCAGTGTCATAGGCGTCGGAACGGGTAGGGCACCGGGGCACCGTGCCCCCCTTTGATTTTGGTATTTCAACACTAGCCCTATGGGTGTTGCATGGAAAGAATGGGACAAAAAGTCGGCAGTGCCCCCCCCCCCTTAATTGAAGGTGTTCCGCCGCTACTGTTCAGTGTGTCTCTTAGTAGCTATCAGCTAGGGCTACACTAATTGCTTATATGCCTGCTTTGTCGTATTATCAGCGAGCATCAACGATGAAAACAATGAAATAAATTCATAAAATGAAGATATTTGCTGTAAAAGAGATTAGGTGCAGATTTGGTCAAATTAGGTGCACTCGCCGCCCGCCGGATACACCGTTGTGAAAACGGCTTACGTGATTTTTTCAACTCTTGCCGTTTGTGTCGGCGCTGATCTAACTGAGTGCTTCTCTCCCCCGGCAGGGACTCGCTGACTCTCAAGCACGGCCAGACGTACAGTTTTTTGGTGCAGACGACGGTGGCGCTGGGGCCTGTGCACCGCGTGCAGCTCTCGTGGGACCGCCAGCGCGGCTCACTGCTGCAGATGCCCTGCCTGCTCTGGTGTCCCGACACCAGCCTGGCCGTGTCGCACGTCACCCTTCTCGACATGGACCTGCCGGACGGGTCAGTCAGACGCGGCAAACGGCGGGACGTCCTCCGGCGGACAGTAGGGAGGGGCGCTAACTGCAACTATCTATATCTATATCAAATCAAGAATAAGGGATTAAATCTTACGCGATAGCTTTTGAGATTAATGTTTTGTTATGCTTGAATAGGTTATTTCAGGAAGCGGGACTAGATCTAGACATGAGGCTGAGCCGACCATCGGTTGGTGTTTCGCAGTGACTGAGTCGATTCCGTCGCCTTTCATGCGGATGTGTCGATTCTGAGGACAGAGAGAACGTTCGAGCTCTGCTGGAACTGCGGTGCTTGTTTCGCGGCTGACGTCTGCGTCACATTTCAGCGATGACGACGCGGGCCAGACCTTCTGTCCCTCGGCCGCCGCACCGGTGCTTATCAAATCCGGCCAGGACCGCGTGACGCTCTACAACCAGACAAGCTGCGTGGACGGCCGCGCGGCGGCGGCCCCGCCGAGTCTGCGCGCCGCTCCCCCCTTCCGGCGGCGGCCGCTCAGCGCAGTGACACCTGGCGGCGACCGCCAGAGGCTCACCTTCCGGGAGAGGACGGTAGAGCCGGAACGACCCCGACTCCTCCGCATCGTCCGGCAGCCCACCGAGAACAGAGGCGGTCTGCTCCAGCATATTCTCAGGCTCGTTGAAAACTTTTGAACTCTAGCGGTACCGTGACATTTTCCGAAAATACACTTTATTCGGAAAGTTTCCAATCGTACGTCATATGTAGGAAATGATAGTAAGACAGCTATCTACGCTAGGCAATAGCTGAAGCGTTGTGCCAGTTTACCTTCGGATATGGTGTTTTTGTTACATATTCAGGAGGTGTTTCAAGCAGTTTATTTTCACGCTTGTTCAGCTGCTTGGTTTGTGATGTTTTTGACACTGTGAGCAGCTCTGTTGGTTCAGTGTGTGCTCAGTGTAGTGTAACCTGTAGACATTGCGTCTTCGTTTTTACTTGTACATATTTTTGAAATAATCACAACATGAAGTCAAGTCAAACGCGACGCCTCATAATTCAAAAACGCCTTTAATTCCACCATTCTTGGAGCTGCATGATGCTTACTTATTTACGTTTGCGCTGTTTTCCTCGGAGCTGCGCCTCACCAGTCTACAATCGCCTACCCTCGTCGGTCACTTAGCAAATCTAGAATAGAAAATCGCCATCAGTATGCCAGTTTTACGCGATGTGAAAGTGGCGTAGCGTAAAAGATACACAGCGATACAGTGTTCGTAGGGAATGCTTGTTTTTGCATCACGTACGTACAGCCGCCGCACGTTTACACTGTATACAGCACATCCAACATGACGGTTATTTTGTTATGAGCTCATATGATACTGAACGCTTGCACGGTTCGAAATATATATATATTTTCTCAGCAAAATGCTCATTCGTTTTTCGAAAACATGGTGTATGGTAATATGCAGAAATAAATAGAATAAATAAATAACAAATTTAGTGAAGGGACCAGTGGAAACTTGGATCTCGAGTTTTAGATAATCTTCCAGCTGAGTAGTAATTTCAATTATTGACCGTTTAATACGTCAAGTAAATACGACGGTGTAGTCAGTGTTTCACAATGAACGGTGCATGGTATTTGAGCACTTCACGTACGTACAAAACAATGCCTGTAGGTCATGTAACAGCTTCAGTTTATACATATAGCACTGAGGTACATAGATAGAGATACGTGGTGAATCTTATGTTGTCGACACAATATTTTCTCATCGAAAGCAATAAGCATCATATTCTACGCCAAGCTGAGGTAGGACTAGGAGAAGTTCTTGCTGGCAGCGAGCGACATCTCTTGTGGAACGTTTCTTTAACGATTAACCTTTAATTCCGGTCCAAGAGCTAAGCCAAATGTTGGATCAGCGCTTAACAGTCACAGGGAATTATGCCAATTACCTAATGTAGCTAACTGACTTGAGCTATACATACATGAAATAGTTGATTCAGTTCAGTTCAGGAACGTATGTGCGTGCGATAGCGCTCACCGTTGTGGATAGATATTCGAGAGACAACAGCAGCAATGCGCACGTGCAATCTATTAACATCTAATCAAAAGGTGTTATTTTCACTGGAAGACGTTTTACGAAATTTATGAGTTTCTGTTTTACGAGTTGCCTACTAACTTTGATTAAACGATAGACCAGACGTCAGCATGCTTTTATCATTACGTAAATAAAATCGATCGCTTATTAATTCAGAAACAGCTTAGAACCGACATGAAGCTGCGAACATGAACGACGTATTGGAAGAAGCCAAGCAGAAACGGCGCGGTCTTTTACCATGACATCGGATACATCGCATTACAATCAGGCTGATACAAACGTAAGTCTCCCTGCCCAGGTAGGAAGGACTGTAGATTGTTAACCAGTCCAGTACCTATGCATATCAAAGGCAGATAACAGGGAATGCGCCCTGTATTAGCTAACTGGTATGCAAAGGTTATATTTGCTCAGACTCTTGAATCTTTCAATATTGTTTTGAAACGCTTGAAATGTCTTAAAACGTCGTCACTTCTACAAAAGGAGTCGATAGCTATTTATTGGCACCGAGTCCAGTATGAATCTACCGTTCGTTGTTTGGCCGGCAGCTGTACCATGCCATCCACTCGGACCTGGTGGGTGAGCTACTGCACCCGCCGAGAGGGCCCCCGACCCCCGACTCGGTGCGCAAGTTCCGCAGGGCCCACTACGCCGACCCCGGAGCCAAGACCTACCACTGGGGAGTGGCCGACGACCCCAACGACAAGCCCAACCAAGTTCACGGCACAAAGTTCGGCACCAAGTCTCTGGTATGTGCTCGAGTAGTCACACGCTCTTGATCCCATTATAACGCCAGTGCTGTTTGTAATTCGCTCCGTCCAACGTTCGGTACATTGTTCTGAATCATACTGCAGAAACGTAGCACGTCGTAAATTCGAAAATGATAGGTAATCCATTGATGATTCATGGGCATAAACGCACATTATATTCCACATTGCAATTATAGAAGATATGTTGAAAAAAAAAAATCATCATCGACCATATGTAATGAATGAAGGCGTAACATATACCTATGTTACGTCTTCAAGTACTTTTAACTTTATTCAGTGTCTGAGGCTCTCTTACTGCACAGCAGTTACAAAAGCCGACATATTCCTGAACAAGAACCTGTTTCTCCTATATCTTGCCCTGGTGGCCCACCCTATGACCTATCCTGTGACCCTGTGGTCCTTCCTGTGACCTGTCCTGTGACCCTGTGATCCGTAATGTGACCTGTCCTGTGGCCTGTCCCGCCCGCGGTCAGGCCGGTGACGTGGTGAGCCCTCCGGTGGTGCCCTGTTCTGTTCCCTGTCCTGAGACCTGCCCTGTTCACAGTGTTCAGTGACCTGTCCTGTGGCCTGTCCCGCCCGCGGTCAGGCCGGTGACGTGGTGAACCCTCCGGCAGTGGCCCGTCCTGTGCCTCTGTGACCCGCCCTGCCGCCCCCGGTCAGGCCGGTGACGTGGTGAACCCTCCGGTGGTGGCCCGTCCTGTGCCTCTGTGACCCGCCCCGCCTCCTGTCAGGCCGGTGACGTGGTGAACCCTCCGGTGGTGGCCCGTCCCCACCGGCTGCTGGCGGCCGCGCGCCGTCTCACCTACGACTCGACACTGCGCCGGCCGGTGGGCTGCGCGCCGCTCCGCCAGCCGGCCGTGCCGCCCCACCTGGCCTGCGCCGGCGCCGCCACCTTCGGCCTGCCCACCAAGTATGGTGAGAACTCACCGAGCACACCTGGCTGGGAGCGGGGAGCCGGTGACGACAGGTGGGGAACTGTGGGGACTGTCGCCGCTGTGATATGGAAGTGATTGATACACAGGGCTGTGAAGTGTGAGTCACTGGTGTGTGCTGTCGGACAGGCGACACGGTGGCCCAGTGTGTCAGTCCCTACCGAACGGCCCAGGAGTTCCAGGCCAACTGGTGTAAGGGCACCGACCTGTACCGGCGCTCCCACCGGCACACCAACCCCGGCGAACAGACGCACCGCAGGTCAGTCCGTGGAGAGACACCGACTGACACCGACCAATACTGACCGAAATAACCTACACCGACCGACAACTCCCTCCGACACTGACCGGCACCGACCGATACCGATACCGACCGATACCGATACCGACCGACACCAACACCGACCGACACCGACCGATACCGACCGATACCGACACCGACCGACACCGACTGCTCCGTCCGGCAATGACCGGCACCGACCGACACCGGTCGACACCGACCGACATGACACTGACAGCGGATACATGTGGGGGACTATACCTGGGAGTGGCGGGACTGACGATACGGCTATTCACTAAGGTCAGAAGTCAGAGTCCCTTCACTGACTCTCCCGGGTACCCGGGTGGCCGGCAGTTACGGCCAGGGGTTCAACACCAAGGCCAAGTTCGGCGTACCCACCTACAACGAGGAGAACCACACGGGTCGCCGAGTGAAGGAGTGTGTCACCTGGCCGGGTCCGTCCAAACCGCTGAGCGCCGTCTGCAGCTGGCGGGCCGAGAGCTGGCGCGAGCTCCACCAGGACCGCGTCGGACAGCCGCTCGACAGGTAAGGCCGACCCGGTAGTCAGTGGCCCGTGTGAACCCGGCTTCAGCCGGCTCAGTCGGCTCAGTCGGCGCACGCACTAGGGGGACTACGGGAGCTGCAGGAGTGAATGCAGAAAAAAATTAGCCTGAGTCATGGTGGGTGCCTACTTTTTTTGTTGTAAATCCATATTTTTAGCCAAATTACGTATTTTTTCTGTTCGATGCTGCACCGTGACGACAGCATGCACTTTCCTCCCACACTATGGCAACTTAATGCTTTGGGACTGGGACTTGAAATCACTTGACATTGTCACCGCTACGACAGTTTCGTTCTCAATGACACTTCTCAGTCAGTGAATTGATATCTTACCATCAGAAATGCTCCTGTGACTTGCCGCCATGCCTAATTGCACGTCGCACCTCGAAAACGAGTAAACTGTGCGGTACAGCATACTTTCAGGCGCACACCGCTGCTGCCATCTAGCGATAGAAATAGAACCAGCGCGCTGTGCGGTACAGCGTACTTCCAGGCGCACACCACTGCTGCCATCTAGCGATAGAAATAGAACCAGCGCGCTGTGCGGTACAGCGTACTTCCAGGCGCACACCACTGCTGCCATCTAGCGATAGAAATAGAACCAGCGCGCTGTGCGGTACAGCATACTTCCAGGCGCACACCACTGCTGCCATCTAGCGATAGAAATAGAACTGGTGCGGTACAGCATACTTTCAGGCGTACGCCACTGCTGTCATCTAGCGATAGGAATAGAACTAGTCCGGTACAGCATACTTTCAGGCGTACGCCACTGCTGTCATCTAGCGATAGGAATAGAACTAGTGCGGTGCAGCATACCTTCAGGCGCACACCACTGCTGCCATCTAGCGATAGGAATAGGATTAGTGCGGTGCAGCATACCTTCAGGCGCACGCCGGTATTGCCATCTAGCGATAGGAATAGAACTAACGCGGGTGGTTAGTGCGGTGCAGCATACCTTCAGGCGCGTGCTAGTACTGCCATCTAGCGATAAAAATGTGTACAACTAGGCAACACGGCGGCATACGATAACAATCGATGCAGTATTTATGCCTAGTCAGAACGTTGTTCACCCGGGAGCGTTCTCGCCAGGTACCAGTGCACACGTGACCTGCCGGCGACGTTCACCTACGGCGCGCCGATGCGTCACGTGCTCTCGGGGGCGCTGGACATCGCCACGGCTCGGACGAGCTGCAGTCTGCCCGCCGAGGACCTGGCGCGGCTCGACCTGATCCTGGTCACGCGCCGCAAGTTGCAGGCCGCCGGCTTCACCGGCTTCATCGCACTGCTGCAGACCATGAAGAAAATGGACAAGGTGGGGTAGGTGGGCGCGGCGGTACGGTTGAGGTCACCAACCGATTAAAACGTACTCCACTGAGGTTGTCACACCGTGTTCTGTATTACTGTGTAACGCATCGCACCGTGCTCCGTGCCCCTCTGTGGGCTGTATTCTTGCCGTGTTCCGTGCTCTGTCCGCCCCAGTGACTGTCGTCCCTGACCGTCCCTGCCCGCTCGGTGCGGCTGCCAGCTGGGCACCAAGCGTCTGCCGCTGGAGGCGGTGCTGGCCGCCTGCTGTCAGCAGTGCCTGCCGCTGGCCACTGCCGAGCTGCGCGCGCTGGTCGAGCGGCTAAACCTGGCCGAGGGACCGCGCCGGCTGGTCATCTACTCACTGTTGGTGGCCACACTCAACTGGAAGGACCGGCTCACGCTCGGACACCTCGACCGTGAGTGGCCAGTGAGGGGACGGGGAGGGAGAGGAGCTCAGGCAGGAACTGGCTCGGTGAACGGCCCTGTGCACCCTCTCTGTGACCGGCCGGCGGCCCCACCTCCGGCAGTGTTGCGGAAGGAGCCGCGGCCGGTGGCCGAGTGTCGCACCAGCACCAGCTGCCAGCTGCCGCCGCCGCCCCCCGACTGGACCGTGGAGCGGAGGCGCAGCTCCGGACCCGGCGAGCCGCCGGAGAACGCCGCCGGCCCGAGACGCGACAGGGTCGTCGACGTGGTCACCCCGTCACCGTTCATCGAGGCCGGCCTGCGCGAGACGGAGCTCACCATGGTTAGAAGCGGGGGCGGTGAGAAGGGACTAGCCATGGTGAGAGGAGCTGACTGGTGGGAGTGGCTGAATGGTGGGAGGGTCTGACTGATGAGAGGGGCTGACTGGTGAGGACTGACTGGTGGCGTTGGTCGGGGTGACTGCGGCGAGAGGGAGGCTGACTGATGAGTGCAGGGTAGTGATAACGTGTGTAGTAAAACTGATGATGAAGGACCGAAGGCATAGTTCTTATCAGCGGCGAGAGGGTCTACATTTTATCATAGTTCGCGCTGCCCCGGTGGCCCGTTTCCTGTGTACTGGCCCCCTGGCCTGCCTCCGACTGCTAGCTCGTCTAGACTACCAGGCCGGGCTGCGATGTATGACTCGTCACTCCCCCTCTGCCCGTATTGCAGCCGCGCAGCGAGGCGTTCCTGATGGAGCTGCTGTGCGGCATGGGCGTCTGCGACTACCGCCAGTTCCAGGCGCTCTACGCCGCCGCGCGCCGGGCCCACCCGCCCGACCCCAGCGTACTGGACGTCCTGGACGAGGCCAACCGCAGCTGCTGCCCGGCGCCGGCCGGGCCGGCCCAGCAGCGGCCCGCCGAGCCGGCCCAGCCGCGGCCTGCCGAGCCGGCCCAGCAGCGGCCCGCCGGGCCGGCCCAGCAGCGGCCCGCCGGGCCGGCCCAGCAGCGGTCCGCCGAGCCGGCCCCTGACGGCCGTCTGTGCGCTGCCGGCCTGGAGGAGGTCAGGGCAGTGGCCGAGAGAAGGCCCTGCCGCGGCACCGACCAGCTGGCCACTGTGCCGCCATCTCTGGACGGCGAGAGGAAGCTGCGGTTCGCCGAGTCGGCGCTGGAGACGGACGGCAGACGGCTGCCGCGGACTGACCCCGGCTGCGGCGCCGACTTCCTGAGGCCGACACCGCCGGACGACCGTCCGCCGTGTCCCACCACACCGGCCACCAACGGCGGCGACCAGCAGTGTGACCTTCAGACGCAGCCGGCGCAGAGTCAGCCGTGCGCCCACTGGCCCCCCAGCCAGCAGCAGCCGCAGAGTCAGCCGTGCGCCCACCAGCCCCCGAGCCAGCAGCAGCAGCCGAGCCAGCCGTGCGGCCACCATACCGCGCCCAGCCAGCAGCCGCAGAGCCAGCCGTGCGGCCACCATACCGCGCCCATCCAGCAGCAGCCGCAGAGTCAGCCGTGCGGCCAGCATACCGCGCCCAGCCAGCAGCAGCCGCAGAGCCAGCTGTGCGCCCACCGGCCCCCGAGCCAGCAGCCGCCGAGCCAGCCGTGCGGCCAGCATACCGCGCCCAGCCAGCAGCCGAGCCAGCCGTGCGGCCACCATACCGCGCCCATCCAGCAGCAGCCGCAGAGTCAGCCGTGTGCACACCGGCCCCCGAGCCGCCAGTAACCAGCCGAGCTTGTACTCCTGATGGGATATATTTACAATGGAAGGCCACAGTCAGGTCACCGAGTGCCTGCTCTCTCTCTCGCTCTCACAGATCAGCTCATAGTTCAATAGTCTACAAACGGGGTGTCACAGAATGGTCAAACAGCGCCACTCGGTTGGCCAGTCGCCAGCACAGCGGCGGCGCGGCTGGGGCAGCGCGCGCCCACCTAAAACGGCTGTGTAACGCTACTATTCCACGGTCAGTAACAAGTCTATATCAAACACAGATTCTCAGTCGGCCGGCCGGCCGGCGCCCTGTCAGCGGGCGGCCCGGCCGGCCACCCTCGGCGGCAGCAGCAGCAACAACGGCGGCGCGCGCGCTCGTACAAAATCCTCCAACGACAACAGGGTGAATAAAATTTTCAGCTGATATAACAGGCGTGCCTGGGGCGGGCGGGCGGGCGGGCGGCCGGGTGGGACGAGTATTCAGTGGTGTATGGATGGAGCTGGCGTCCGGTCGGCGCCGCTCCGACCGTCGTCTCCTCCTCTCGACCCGCCGCCATCACAGTTAGTGGCCACAGCGACACACGCGCGCGCACACTCGCACTCACAGTCCAGCGTATAAATGCGGCCGGCGGGGCCGCGTTGGCACGAGCTCGGCCCTCGGCCGCCCCTCAGATAGCGCCTCCAGTCTGTCGCGCTCAATTAGGTACAACAGTGTGTGTGTATCACATTCGCACTAAAAACATTGCTCGTCGCCCGAGCTGCCGGGCGATCTGGGCGGCGCGCGGGCCACGAACCCGTAGTGGGCGGGGGCGGCCGCCGGCGCGGGCGCGGGCGGCGCGCTAAGGCACGGCGGCGGCGCAGCACGGCGCGGCGCGCGCACTCTCGCCGCCATGGCACAGTCTGGGGGCGCGTCCGGGCGCCGTCCGACTAGGAGGGCTGCAGGCCGGGCCCTGGCCCGGGTCCCGGCCCCGGCCCGGGTCCTGGTCCCGGCCCCGGGCCGGGGCCGCCCAGTGACGGCGACGGCGAGTGCTCCCTGCCCAGCACCGAGTACACGTCGTCGGCGCGGCTGAGCGCCTCCAGCAGCGGCAGCCGGTCCAGCAGCTCCGTGTCGCTCATGTCGTCAAACCACGACTTGCAGGCCACCTGCGGGCACCGGCGGGCCGGGTCAGGGTCACCACCGGCGGGCCGGGTCAGGGTCACCCCCAGCGGCCAGCGCCTGGGTCACCACCAGCGGCCGGCGCCACCGCACGGGTCGGCGGCGGGCGGCCCACGGTAAGCCGAGCGGCGAAACACCACCCCAACACGCACACAGCGAAAACATACCTACAACAGGAGAACACCGGAAATCTGATCACATTGAGGTTACATTGGGTTATAGTGAAATACAAGACCCATAGAGATAGTATAACCCAAATCGCGTAAATCTCGTGCGATGCATAAAACATAAAATTGTACTCGTATATCACAATAACAATAAATACAAAAATATTTCAAGCCTGCCCAAATGTCATTAAGGCGCCGTGGGATAATAAGGAGCTCTCACCATAAGACGAGTTTCTGTCCGGGACGAGGACAGGAAGACATTGCGGCGGGCCGGCAGGCAGGTAGCCACGCCGGCAGCCGGGACGGAGGACGCAGGATGCGGGACCGAGCCAGCACGCAGGCTCCGTGGGCGGGTCCCGGGACACTCCGTGGGCGGGCCGGTGTCGTGACACTCTGTATCCAGGACCGGTGACACAGGCTCCGGGAGCGACGGAGCTCGAGAGCCGCCAGCAGCTCCCCAGCGTCCCGGGAGCGCGGGTGGGGATTCCACGCCTAGGGCGAGGAATCGGGATCACACCTATCGCAGGAAAGGGAAAAGGAGACAGCGAGTTAGGCGAGGTCTGCAGGATTTCGATGTTTAAATGTGAGACGAGGAGAGAGCTACCAGAGGTAATGTTAGAATTTAGGTAAATACGTACTAAACACGCTAGCAGAATCATTCACAGGAGACGCCAGGACAAACCTACAGAAAAACAATGAAAAAATGCGTTCATTTAGCGCGGATCGCTAAGTCAGCGGCCCGCCTGACCGCAGTGATCGGCCCGGTGCCACTGTCCACCACGTACCGCGTTGTCCGGGTGGAAGATGTAGGAGGCCGGCGAGTTATCCACAATGGCCACCCGGTGCAGGTCGCGGCCCAGGCGCTCCAGGTCCTTGACGTAGTTGCCGCGGTAGAAGACGCACGACTCGCGGAACAGCCGTGCCCGGAACACGCCCCACTTGTCGAGCAGGTCGGCCACCGGGTCCGCGTACTAAAACACAGGTCAGGTCAGGTCAGGTCAGGTCAGGTCAACACGCCCCACTTGCCGAGCAGGTCGACCGCCGGGTCCGCGTACTAAAACACAGGTCAGGTCAGGTCAGGTCGGGTCAACACGCCCCACTTGTCGAGCAGGTCGGCCACTGGGTCCGCGTACTGTACACACACACAGGTCAGGTTAGGTCAGGTCAGGTCAACACGCCCCACTTGTCGAGCAGGTCGGCCACCGGGTCCGCGTACTGTACACACACAGGTCAGGTCAGGTCAGGTCAGGTCAGGAATCAGGATACGTCCATTCCCGCATGATCGGCAAGTAGGCCATTGTATCAGCACACTTCGCAGAGCTCAAGCTACTTGCCAGGCTACGATGTGCCAAATATAGTATTTACATTGCAGCTGTTCAGAGAAAGGCCCGAGAAAAGAACTACCGACCCACAACATTGCAGTACTATACCATAAAGCTTCCTGACTTACGTTAAGGTGAATAAGCGAGGAGCTGCAAAGTTCAGGAACTACTGAGCACATCTTGTCAAGCATTCGGCAGACGGCAGTGATAAATGTTATCACCAGCCGGGATAAATATTATCCCAAACATGTCAGAGGGACCAGCCTGGTTCATCATGCTCGAGTTCGGCCAGAGACAGACAGTTGCATCAGAACCCTCGACGGAGCGCCGCCGAAACTTTGACCCATCGCGGCGCCTGCTGCCAAGGCTCAACAGGAGCCGGCGGTCGGCCCGGCCGCCGCTGCTGGGCAGAGGCGGGTCCCTGGCGACCACCGACCTCTCTCCCCCGCGGCGGGTGCACCTCCCCCCCCCCCACCACCGGCGGGCGGGCTCGCACCGACCGACCTTGGCCAGACTGGCGGTGAAGAGGACACACTCGAACATCTGTCCGATCTTCTGCAAGAAGTCGTCGACGTGCGGCCGCTTCAGCACGTACACCTGGTGCACGGTGCCGTCTATCTCCACCGGCACGATAAAGTCGGCGTTGTTGATCGGCTGCGGGTGGGAACACAGCAGACGTCAGAGGGCTGGCTGGGGTCGGAGGTCACCTTACCCGAGCAGTGGTTATGTTATCATTGGTCGCCAGTGGGGCATCAAAGAGGACGCCAAAAGCTGCAGTCAAAATCTTAAGTGTCTGACAGTGGACTGACGAAAACAACCATCTAAGCTGACGAGCGAAACTATCCAGTTAAATCCAGTCGGTAACGCACACGGCAAACCAGTCGGTAACGCACACGGCAAACCAGTCGGTAACGCACACGGCGCACGCATATCGCAGACACAGCACGCACAATACGGCCAGGGCAGGAGAAACGTAAACAGCGGACGAGGGACCACTACCACAGCGCACTTCACCCGTCGCCGGCGGCCCGGCCATCCTCCCACGGGTCCCGGCGGCTGGGCGGGCGGTGGTGCATTATTTACACACGGCCGTACCCGGCGCCCGGCCGGCCCGTGCCACCCTGCAGCAGTATCGGTGCGCATACCGCCCCGGGGAGAGCCGGGCGGCGGGCCAAGTCGGGCGGGCGGCCGGCACCATCACCCACAGCCGGGCCCAGCGGTCACCGGCTGACGGCAGCAGCAGCCCGGCCGGCCGGAGCTGCCGGCGGCACCGCTGCCGGCCCACCGGTCACGCACAGCCGACCGGGAGACAGACAGCCGGCCGACGAGCGGGCACACTAACCCGGGAGACGCACAGCGGGCCGGGAGACAACCGGCCGACGAGCGGACACACTAACCCGGGAGACGCACAGCGGACCGACGAGCGGACACACTAACCCGGGAGACGCACAGCGGGTCGGGAGACAGATAACCGGCCGACCAGCGGACACACTAACCCGGGAGACGCACCGCCGGCCGGGAGACGCACCGCCGGCCGGGAGACGCACAGTGGACCGACGAGCGGACACACTAACCCGGGAGACGCACAGTGAACCGGGAGAGAGATAACCGGCCGACGAGCGGACATAGGTACTCGAACCCGGCCGCCGACCGTCAGTGACGTGCGGTACAAATATCGCCGACCGGCGGACAAACACCATCAACTTGTCACCCACTCGACAGCGTCCGTAACAGCGTATGTCTAATGTCACACAGTTACCACACTTCACAATACCTCCAGCTCTCGAGTGTGCGCCGCACCCACCCACCCGCAATCGGTCAGACGGCACACTTTTCGAAAGATACAACAGGGAATGGACGCTGGGAACAGGCCTGTGCTCAACACCTTAGCTTGGCTTCAGGGCCTGAGAGTGCGGCGAAGTATAACGCGGCCCGGCCGGCCGGTCCAGCCGCACCCACCTTGAAGGAGCTGTGCACCAGCGTCTCGTCCAGGTCGACCACCAGGCAGACGCGGCCCATGTCGTGGTGTGTGACCGGCGGCAGCAGCACGCCCGGCGCCGGGTGGCCGGCCGGCACCGGCACGTGGCCATTCTCCTCGGGCGCCGGGGTCGGGGACGGTGAGCGGGAGCCGTCGCGGCGTCCCAGGCAGCAGAGCAGCGAGCGGAGCAGGCTGCGCGGCTTACTCACCCGGGCGTCCGGCACCTGGCCTGCGGGCCGACAGGGGGGGGGGGGGGGTCAGAGGAGCGGGCAGAGGGGCGGGCAGTGGTGCTGTCGGGGGGGGGGGGGGGGGGTGCTGTGAGAGAGGGGGCGGTCAGCGGGGAGCCGTCAGTAGGTCAGAGGTCAGAGGGGAGCCGTCAGTAGGTCAGAGGTCAGCCGTCAGTAGGTCAGAGGTCAGAGGGGAGCCGTCAGTAGGGGAGAGGTCAGAGGGGATCTGTCAGTGGGGGAGAGGTCAGAGGGAGCCGTCAGTAGGGGAGAGGTCAGAGGGGGCGGTCAGAGGGAGCCGTCAGTAGGTCAGAGGTCAGAGGGGAGCCGTCAGTGGGGGCCTGTCAGATGGGGGCTGTCATCTGGTTGGCAAGGCTTGACCTAACCCGACCTACCCCAAATGCATGATAACATAATCTTTGATCAACACAAATACAAAATATGAAATCAGCCCCCCCCCCAAAAAAAACATCGCAGCTTCTCTGTAAGAATTCTAGCAGACCCCAAGTATCCCAACTTTGGGGTCATTACTCATTGACATGAAAGTCAACAAATGACCCAGGACCTTAAAACTGAGTAGGTATCATAGGCTTCCTCTTGCCATGAGCAGAACAACTGGGGGGGGGGGGGGCGACCAATGCACCCCGATATAAGAAGGCATGTTGTAGACAAGTAGTCTGGTTAAACACCAATAAGGTGAGGGTTAATACCAATTAGTGCATGGATTATTCATCATTCCACTGTCATCAAGTCTCGAAAGTTGATCGACCAAAATTCAATAAGAAAATATTCTAGCGAGTTTGAATGGAAAAAAGGAGTGGCTGTCTTAAGGTAAACATTTTATAGTTAAATACACCCAGAAGCATGAATTTTTAATGGTGGTGATTTGTTTTTATTTCTTTTTTACCTATATTTAGCCTACCTTTATGTGCCCATTTCTAGCATGCCACAATATCAATTTTTGTTGTTTTCCAACATATCCCAATCAAGGAACTACACAGTAAAATAAAACATGAAATGAAATATAAATGGGTGATAGATAGAGGGAGAGGGATGAGCCAGGAGGGGAAAGACAAGAAAACAAAAGAATACAAAAAGGAGATGACTGATGAGGAGCATGAGACATTCATAAATATAAGTATATAAGCAGCTGAGGCATTTTGGAATTGCCAAACTAAACTAATGACATGTAAGTAACAAGTGAAAATGAAAGTTAAAGGTAGGTGCCAGCTTTCCTGGACCGTATGGAGTTAATGGCCCAGATAAGAAGAACCGGATTTTTATAACTTAATATCCATACCTTCAAAACTCATGGAAACGTCTTAAATTCTTCAAATTTTGAGTACCCCAGTGCGAAATTCGCCCTGACGGGTTGTCGGTCGTACCCCAACCACATTTCACACCACTATGAACAATAAATGCACACACTGAAATCGCTATTACCGATAGGCTCATCCAATCAAGTTTCGATAAACCCGTTCATCATCATCTCCTGCGGTTTCGAACACGCCTGTTAGGTGGTGCGGTAGACCGCGCCCAAAGCCAGGGCCCCGGTAACGTGACGTAGCCGAGTCGGGGCAGCGTGCGCTGACCTAAGCCGGGGCCGCGCGTCCTCCCGGTATCATGTGATAGCCCGGGGATGCGGCAGACCGCGCCCAAAGCCGCGGCCCCGGCTTGGGCCAACACACGCTGCCCCGACTCGGCTACCTCACGTTACCGGGGCCCTGGCTTTGGGCGCGGTCTACCGCAGGTGGCTTCTGCTCATACTTTGTGGTGCGGTGGTGGTGCGTCGGGCCGCGCGCTCTGACTTCGGCCAAGAAAAATGTGTCAGCTGATCATTGTCATTTCTGCCACTTTCATGTGGTGAGATGGGGTCATAACTTTAGAGACGGCTGTTTCATATCAATTATTTTACATAAAATAATATTTCAAACCATAAATTAATGTTCGACAGCCAAATTAAAGAAAAAATACCAATACAGGCTTACAGTTTAAATTCGACATTGTGTTGTATACGATTAGACAGCTGATAACTCATTCCCGTGCGTCGTAACTCTATAATGACCTATGCTTATTGTCACATGTGCGCCGCATTCGCGATTGTTGCCGACGCATGTTTACAGGTCAGCCCACTACAGTTGTTATACATATCGAAAAACCGATAAACTTTTAGGCGAAAAAGGCACTATTTTAGGCCCATTTTTGATTTTTTTTTGTGATATTAGGTAAAAACAGAAGCTTCTTATCCTAGGAAAAATAAAATGAGAAATCATTGGAAGGTGGCACACTACCTTTAACCCTCGCCCATGTAGGGGGGGGGGGGGGGTTGGTGCAACCCCCCCCCCTGAGGTTTTTCGGAAATAGCGCAAAAACGGCGGCTTTGGGTACCTACCTTATGGGGCAAACCTTGCGCATCTTTTAATAAAAAAAATTTGACCGGGTCATGTGAGGTCACGGAGTTATGACGTCACAAAGGGAACAGCCTCAGGCCGGATTTTCACAAACTGAGTGCCAACGCCCGAGGTTTCCTGCCGGTGGTACGGACATCGGTTGATGGATCGTGATGAAACTTCCCATGCATGTTGGGGCAAGTATTGGCTATCATATGGTATCAGAAACTTGACCGGGTCAGGTCAGGTCACGGAGCTATGACGTCACAAGGGGAACAGCGTCCGGTACTATTTTTGAAAAGCGCCCGAACCACTATTTTGCTAATTCTTGTCACCTCAATGGGAATATGCAGCAATATTAGCTTCTATAGGGAGCAAATGGACATCCCAAATCCAAAAATACAATCAGATTTCAAAAATTTAAATTTTGATTTTTCGAATTTCTGCCGCCGACTGTGACCTTGCCGACTTCCGGCGCTCCCAACGCGCCATTTTTAGAGCTAGGGAAACGAAATACATACCAAACGATAGAGAATTGATCAAGGAACACGATAGTGAAGGTTTCAAGTCGATATCTCCCACCGTTTTGCCGCAATCGCCGCGGAAAATTTGAAAAAGTCTATTTTCCGAAAATTTGACCTTTGACCGGTCAAAAGTAGGTCAAATGTTGACCTAGGACCAAAAAATATACCACCAATCGCGAGATCTCGGCGAGAGCAATCCGTTGGTCTTTTCCGCTAAGCTCTACGACGCTCCGTTTTCAAACGCCAAGGGGGGGTCGCACCAACCCCCCCCCCCTGCATGGGCGAAGGTGGCAGATCGCCGTTTACGGGCGAGGGTTAACCCGCGCCCCGTAGGGGGGGGCCGAAACGCCCCCCCCCCCCTGTCCTTTTCGGTCGATATCTCCTAAACGGCTGGAGATATCGCCACCAAACTTTCAGGACCCCTCCGGGCATCGATTTTACACATTGTGACCAAAAATTTTCCAGAGGCTATGATAGGTTGGCCACAAATGACGTCAGAATGACGTGTTCTGTCATTTTCGACCGAAAAAAGACCTTCGCGAGAAGACCTGTCAGGCCTACAGCTTTGAAGATACAGAAAAATGATCAAGACACAAAAGGTGTAGAATTGACAGGGCTACAAAACTGCTATCTCGGATTTTTGAAATTTTTGAGTTTTGACCCCCAAAAATTAAAAATGCATTTTTTTTGGATATATAAGCCAAAAAATCCAAAAAGTTTTTTGATTTTCGAAAAAAACCGGAACATAAGTGATAGTACCTACCGCCTTCTATCTACAAACCAAATTTCAGATCGATACCTCGTTTTTTGGCCAAGTTATAGCGAAAAACCTGCTCAAAAATGATGACGTCAAATTTTCAAACTCAATTTTTGGCAATTCTAGACCTCGTAGAGCAAAACAAAGACCACCATTGGACTCCCCGTGACGAGCTGCATCGAATCGATACCCATTTTATGCAAAAATATCAACTTTGAAATTTGACCTAATTTGACCTGACCTTGACCTGACCTTCACCAAAACGTGACCTAGGCTGGCCCCAAAGGCTACCTAACCCACATAATCGCATTTGTCATGTAAAATAGACCATAAAACATGTATCACACGACACTTTCATAATGTGACCCCCGGTGACCTGACCTCGCTGTGACCTGACCTGGTATCAGTGACCTCAGATAGCAAAGTATGTGTTTGACCAACAATGTACCATCGATGGTTTTCAATAAATTACCAATTTACTCGATTTCACAACACATTTCTTGAAATGCCTGTGAACGGTGAAAATCTGACCTTTGACCTGACCTGTGACGTCATCGGTTTGACCTAGGTCAATGAAATTTGGTCACAAGGTAGTTCCCGGGTGGGGCTATCGAACGCCGTTTGAATTTTGAAAATCGGCCGGTAACTTTCCGAGATCTTAGGGGGGGGGGCCGAAACGCCCCCCCCCCCTACCCTACGGGTGGTAGGGTCCGCCGGTAGCCCTACGGGGCGCGGGTTAATAGTAGATGCAAAAATATATTTATTTCATAACCATGAAAACACCACATCATAAGTGTTCATCATCACTTGGTACCTAGGCCAGAGTTATGTTTACAATTACGGTTCCTGGAAGCATAACAATAAACAACTTTTCTGCTATCAAACAAGAAGAAAACAAAGTAGTTTACACCAAAAGTTAGTCCTAGTGCTACAATCAGATAATTTGCTGAGTAATCAGGTAATTTGCTGGGCAATCAGATAATTTACTGGGCTAAGATCTTCAGACCTTCAGACTTCAGGGCTCCTTACCCAGGTTCAAAAACATGACCTGTCATATCAAAAAGAAATCTTTTGGAAAAATGAGCTCAAAAATTAAAGTACTTAGATAAGGTACAGCTAGATCATACCTAGATGAGGTAAAAGAGATAAATGAGGTAAACCAAATAAGGTAAAGCAAATCAATACAACCAGGCCTTACCGAAAGGCTCTTACTCAATGACCACGCCCACAGCCAATGGCCTCAGGCAGGTAGCACAACAAAATACACCTTTTTGCACTCATATTCCGCTATTGGCCATAGCCATAGGAAAAAATATTTTGACAATATAGTGGCCTTGCACACTGCTAACCTAGCACTGTTTGCTTTATTTCAGCTGTTCAGCAAAACTGACCTAACACTGAAATGAATGCTCTAAAATATTGTTAGACACTTCAGCTTTGCAATAACTTCGGCCTTGAGTCAAATGGCTTAGCATTCGCTCAAGTCACTTCAGCAGTTAATCATCGAATAAATGAATATGTAGCGGAGTTTTTCAAATGAGGTTGGCATGCATAGATAATTCACAAAAAAACCTGAAAATTACAGGGATTCACAGGCAACAGGTCAGTTGCTCTCTGTTCTAGCTAGTAGGTCACATTTCAATGGAACTGAGCACAGTACCAAAGTAACACTCAACATACATTAAACTTTCAATGTATTCACTAATATTGTAACTAGGTTTCCAGAACATACATTGTCTTACTCTTCCATTCCATTATTGGAGGACACAAGAAACCTTGAAAAGCAACCACCACCATTCCGTAACAACAACCTAACACAGTTGGGCAAACTAGACCTTTGGAATCAAAATATGGAGGCATCAAAAAATTGATTCCTTATAACCATATTTGGGCATAAATGCAGATCATTTCTAAATTACCAATCATATAAAAATTAGTGAGTGTTTCAAGGAGCATGCCTGATCTTGAACAGAAATGCTGGAACTATCTACTAAGCAAAATAATATTGCTCCTATCATAACAGTTTGAATTATATAGGTAGCAAAAGGCAATCAACAAATTGATTCACTGTGAACAGATATTCATAATATTGATTCCCCATCAGCTGGCTAATCAATTTTTTGAGTCACATGTAATGTAAACAGGTATGCAGCAATGGCTTCCAAGAAAACAGCATTTATTTTGCTATCACTTGCATTTAGTAGCATTCTCATCACAACATATGCCAATAGCCTTGTTGCTCTTTCCCTTCACTACATTTGATAACAATTCACATTTCACAATTTTTAAATGTCAAGAATACAAAAACAGAAGCAACAGGTAAAACCCTTACAATAAATATAATTGCATAATAACAATTAAATGTAAGGGCTTCAAAATTTAATTTTATTTTAAACAAATACCTATTGATATGTATGAGATTCATGATACAAAAACAGCATACACTGTGGAGATTTTCTCAAAACAGCTTTGACGTAATGGAGAGTGGCTCTGTCTTTTTGCCATTCACAAGGGCACAAGGCCAAAGTGACAGTTTCTTGGCTTGGAGGTAACACTTTTTACATGCCTGCTACATTTTTCTACCTATTCAAAGTTCAAACACAACTCTCACCGTCATGGGCCCTTTTTCAACCGTAATGATGCATTTGAAGTTAAGTGTACCAAAATGAATCAAAAGATTGATTTCATGCCCATATATGGTCATGGCTTCTCTTACCAGAATCAAATTAGAAATTAGATCAGATGCCTCCATATTTTGATTCAAAAGCCTAGTTTGCCCAACTGAACAACCACCTTGAAAGGACAATAAATGCCCGAACAATTATGCAATTGTGGCAACACAAATGTTTATTAATTTCATTGCTGCATATGTCACAAAAATGATAATTCATATGATCTCCAGCACCAAACCCAGATGCTGATATCGGTAAAATTATCTGATATCTTGGATGGCAATGTTGATGTTGGTCTATGATGTGAACAAATTGTAATTGCTATCACCCATTGTTATCATCATTTTTCACTGATTCCAACCCTAATGAAATCAGATATCATGCTCAAGAATTTATTCCTTGCACATAAGCTACATGGAATCGAGACAAAACAGCATTATTCCATAAAATTCAATATAAAAACAGAATCTCGTGCAACGTAAACACAAAACAACTGCGCCATAAACGTCACAATCAAAGAAAAGCTACTTTTGGACAAACTTACCATTCTCTGGCTGAACATTCAGCCGCTCTTCCTCTCTACTAACTTGGGTAATCACAGATGAAGGGTCCATTTGAATTTAAATCGATCACAAATCCATTATTCCACACTGACCCCGAGCCCAACCCCGCCACGAATAAAGATGGCGTCGTCCTTTGGCAAGATTGTTTGGAATTTCAATTCGTTTCAAGCAACAAAATGAGCAACGTTCTTCAATGATTTTCAAACTAATTAAGGATATATTTTGATGATTACTTTCAAAATTATTTTGAATTATTTAGGTAAAATTTCCAAAATAAATAAAACTATATAATGGATAAGAAGCAGGCCATCACTAAATTATGTTACCGTGATTCAATGCGAAAAATAATAACAAATCCTCCTAGAAATCATAGAAACAAGGCTAGAAATCAGCTCAGATTTCCTCCTAGATAAAAAAGAGAACAAATGAAAAAAAATTCGAATTATATGTTTTCGAATTCAGGTGAAGATCACTTGGAAAATATTCGCTTCACACCTATTCCAGTACCCACCCTGACGTACCCATTCCCATTACCAACCGGTTTACATAGCCTTCCGCGCCATCGAGCACGAATTTCAAGTAAAGGCCGCCCCACACTGGACCTCGCATGCGGGTTGCGAGCTTGCGGGTTTTGAGTTTGCGGGCATAATACTAATTCATAGATTGATTACACAATACACCGTCCCCTTATTGTCACTCCATGAATGCCAGGGCCTCCAGCCAGGAATTTCACTGGGGGGGGGGGGGGTAGAGACTCAAGGAGCACAGGGGCGTCGCCGACGGGGGGTCGCGAACCCCCACCACTCGTCAGAACCGGGGGGTCGACCACTTTTGACGATGCTGAGTATGGGTTTTTGAGCTATCATGTCAGTTAAGTTGGCGTCAGCAACATCAACAAATAGGTACAAAGTCAGATTCAAATCCTTTCAAGAGCTCCCTTGTCCCTATTGCTAATATGTCAATAAGCTGTGGACGTGGAACATCAGCATGGCAATATTTTAACGTAGCCACTTTTCTAGTCCCTTTTTATCCCTCAAATGAGTGAGCGAGCCAAAACTGACCCAATCGTTCGTCTGATTTTCAAAATAATGGTTGCAGTCGATTCGTCGGATCATGAATGACGCATCAGTAACTACGAGGTACCTATAGCTAGCCTCAGCCCTGACTACCCTCGGACCTGCCTGTATAGGGGAAACGAAGTCAGATAGCGGACCCCTCTCGGGCTTTCCTAATAAGACGCACAAAAAGGAGCATATTGCAACGACACTTCCAGTGCCCTCGAGTTAATGAATTTACACATACCTACTCTAGAAATTTATTGGCCCTGATTCGAATATGGATGAAATTGGTTCACTTTTTTAGGTTTATTTGCTTCCACTTACGAGTGTAGTTTTCCGAGCTGATTTCGAGTTTAGCGCCCGCGGCCCGTTTGAACATAAGAAGTAGTTTTGATAAATCGTGGTTATGTAACATGTTACAAAGCTATCAATGGTGGTTGTCACCCATTCTATATAGATGGCCGCATTAAGCCTGCTGGTTGACCTGACCTGACCCGAACCGATCTACCCCAAATGCATGGAGTCATCATCTTTGTTCAAAACAAACATAGAACTCGTACTCGGGACGGGACCCCGATAACAGCTACGGCTTACAAAGTTCTAGCAGGCCAGATTTTTCCTACTTTTGGGCGTTGACCTATGATGACCCGGCCAAGACCTTGAAATTGGGCTTTCTCTCATCACGGGCAGCATCCTCGCTTTTCCGCAAAGCTCTACCTCCGGTACCTCGATCAGGGGCCGTAAGCATACCTTAGCGTTACGTTGGTAAACGTTTTACTTTAGCGACCCGTAAAACACGAATAAGAGCTACAGCGACACAGAAAGCGTATTCGATAGCTTTTTTAATTAAAGCTCTTTCGCCAACATCGCCTCAGATACAACTTCGGGTCTATGGCTTGTGTACCACAGAGGCCAAACAGCTAAACGGACGAATTTTGCCGAAACATTTGTTCTGTAACAGCCTATGATTCAGTGAATGTGTATGATATTCATGTTATGGTGAAGTTAGATAAATATAGTAGTCTGATGCTCATGAGTAAGCTATATGAAATATATATTTTAGAGAAGAGTTGTATAATATTTCGAGCACGGCTCGTCTTCAGATACATAGGCCGAATGACACATAAAAACACGACAAGAAACGACGTCGACATAGGATAGAAAACAACAATCAAACGCGTGGGAACGTGATAAAGTACTATAACAGGCGTGACAAAATATCTCGGAGCTTTACATCAGGAAAGATGGTGATAAATGTGCAGTAATTTTAAAAATAAAAATTCAGCACAATCATATATATTGTGTTGAATTATACAATCATACAAATATACAATTATTTAATAATGTGGTGTAGACTAGACAGTTAGTGTGTAAGTGTATAGGATGAGTATGGTACAGGGTTTAGCAGACGCCAAGACAAAGTATTTTTGTTAAGAGCTGGATTTCGGTTCCTGATTTCGATAGACTCTGTGATCATTAGATTTGCCTCATCTTTGCAGGTGTGGAGGATACCTATACTAAAGTCACCATTGCCTATGTGTATGGTCGAGTGTTCAAAAAGTACATGATCCCCCAAGTCTGTGCCTCGCCTACTGTTTCGAGCGTCCCCAAGATGTTCCATGAATCTGGTGCGAATCATTCTTCGTAATCTGATTCTTCAAAAACGTAGTTTATCAAATAACGTGCAAAATTTGTAGTAAAACGTATATCGGTAAAACACGAAGAATGATTCGCACCAGATTCATGGAACATCTTGGGGACGCTCGAAACAGTAGGCGAGGCACAGACTTGGGGGATCATGTACTTTTTGAACACTCGACCATACACATAGGCAATGGTGACTTTAGTATAGGCATCCTCCACACCTGCAAAGATGAGGCAAATCTAAGGATCACAGAGTATCGAAATCAGGAACCGAAATCCAGCTCTTAACAAAAATACTTTGTCTTGGCGTCTGCTAAACCCTGTACCATACTCATCCTATACACGTACACACTAACTGTCTAGTCTACACCACATTATTAAATAATTGTATATTTGTATGATTGTATAATTCAACACAATATGTATGATTGTGCTGAATTTTTATTTTTAAAATTACTGCACATTTATCACCATCTTTCCTGATGTAAAGCTCCGAGATATTTTGTCACGCCTGTTAGGTATAGTATTTTATCACGTTCCCACGCGTTTGATTGTTGTTTTCTATCCTATGTCGACGTCGTTTCTTGTCGTGTTTTTATGTGTCATTCGGCCTATGTAACCGCAGGTTGTTTGAAAAGACAAACACTATTCGTTAGAATTGTGTTTTTCTATTGAAAAACAACCGGAGCGGTCCTTCTCCGGGCTATGTTTTGCATGTCTGGCCGCGAATTGGGGCAACTTGGGTCAGGCCTAAACTTGTGGCTCGATTTTCTTAAAAATTTCAGTGTATGGGCTCCCGCAGGCGATCTACCTGTTGGCACCGGTCGCTACTCGCTTAAAACCTCGTGGCACGTGGCACGTGCGATTCCATTTTCCCCATGTTAAGTCAACGGGGTTTTGGACACTTTTTGCGCGATCGGGAATAGCGGAAAAACGAGCCAAGGAAGAGGTGGTTTTCTTCCCAGCATTTTATGGCAAACACGTTTGGGTACACGCTGGTGTGCGCCGTATACCCCTCAGAACTTCGTAACGTGTCTTTGCACGAGGTCAAAGTTGAATTTTTTTCGCTCCCCATGTTAAGTCAATGGGCGTTTTTGCAGAGACTTTTTCATTCGCTCATTGTACAAAATTATATGATACGATTTTGTTTAAACTTTCAGGACTTGTTGAGAAAAGACCATAGAACATGGTGTTATGCTTCGTTAAGCTGTCAGAATTCGTTTGCTCTTTTGAAGCTCGTTTAAAAATGAAAAATTTTAACTTTGAAAGTCAATGGGAGCGTCTTTGATGCTTAATAACTTTTTACGTTTAAGATATGTTTAAGTCAAAAGTTGATATTTTATACAACTTTTGATGCTCTTTCCAATGATATATAGAACGTTATTGCACGTTGTTCCGTTTTCCTGGTGTTGTCCATCTGAACTTGTCAGTCACGTGACCCATTTGACCTTCGGATCCAATTCTGGTAGTCAATTCTGGCGCTTTTGTTACCATAGCGAAATATGTAACGCCGTGTTCACAGTTTACTGACGACGAAGGTCCTGCTTAATCTGGCAAATAGCGTTCGAGAACTGCGGCCAAGCCCCGCTGATCTTGAACGTGATTGGTCGGTGGGCGTAAAGAATCTCCGTCGTCAGGGAGACTGCGAACACGGGGTAAACCAAGGAGTAAACAATCTGTGCGTGGAATGGGGAGTGGTGAATGTGGAACGGCGATGATAGGTGCTGATGTCGTCGATTTTTATTTATACTGTTATCCTTATTATACATTCTGATCATTTTTTATGTTCAGGAGTTTTCTCTGTTGATTTAACATCAAAAACGGTGTGTTTAACTGTTATTGCCAAGTGCCATATTGATATTGAAATTGGGGTACAATTCAACATTCTGATTCACTGGTTTTCTATGGCCTGTTGTGTATCATATTATTGGTAATGTGAATATAGGTACTCCAAACGGCAAACACTGCTATTTTCTGGTATATATTAATGTTTGACCTGATTTTATATTATTGGTAATGTGAATATAGGTACTCCAAACACTGCTATTTTCGGGTATATATTAATGTTTGACCTGATTTTACTTCACTTCACCTTATATTTTTTGCAGGAACAGTTATCACAGCATTATTGTGCAAAAATAAGGGTGGTGTATCACAGCATATCACAGCACTCTGCCAGCCGCTTTTGGCTTCCATAGAGACATCAACAAGCCTATACCTCCAACACTACCGGAGGTTGACGCTAGCTCACGCGGAATGCGCTGGCAGCGGCTGGCAGCGCGCCCATGAAACACAGCCAGGGGTTTCTTCTGTAAAGTCATTGTTGTCTAGGTACATGGGCCTTTACCAATTGTTAACAGCTATAAAAATTGGAATTAAAAATGTTCAGGTATTATGAGCATCAGCTAAACAGGGAAGAGGATTCGGCTTCAGCCCAT